CTACTACTACTACTCTACTACTTCTGTACTGTGGGGCTTGCGGAGCACACGGGGATCACACTAGACTATTGTGGGTGCCACCAAAACGAGTGCAAATATATACTTATGTAGCTGTACATCAAATAAGGAGCCCACTACTTGCTTCACTAAAGCTCTCAATGCCCGAGTCCTGGCAGACTGTTAGATGCATGTTTGTTTCTGGTGCATATGCTCGGGCTCGCGTGAGAAAGGATGTCGGAGAGCTAATGCTTTTCTTTGCTAGGCGTAAACGTATGTTTGAGAAGTGAGACGGCAACCACCCTTCCCAATTGTACGTGCGCGACCACTGAAAGCCAGAACTGCTGTGAGGAGAAAGCCGGTCCGTCAAATTGGCAAACTCTGTAGAGACCAGGCTGTCCGGGCTGACCTGCTGATCGGCGAGTTCGGCCTCCTCAGCCAACGTTCATGACACAGGAAACGGAAAGTTAGCGAACATGCTTAGACAAGGCCCGTGCTGATGCTGGGTTATCCTGTTTGCAGCTCTGTGCTGAGCCGTTTGTTCACTATTGAGCTACTGGGAATCTGGCACGGGTGTGGCGGTCGCTCGCCGCTTTCTCTTCAGCGTCGTGCTGTTCCTGGCCTGGGCATACGCACGTGCACTTCTCTCCACAGGGCTGTATCTCACTGCTGCGTGTAAGTGCACGTAGTGAGCTTCCTGTCTCCCGGTCGTCCTCGGCAGTCTCGTGATATTCCAGTAGTGCTTAGACCCAGGCGTTGTTGCTGTAAGGCCTCACCTTGATTCGGCTTCCGAAGCAAGACGCACGCATGGACGCACGCAGCAGAGCTGTGCTGAGCAGCCTGCGCTCAGCCTGCAAGGCCTCATTGCCGGCAGTGGCAGAGCACGAATCTTCTCTTTCGTGGACCCAAAATGTGTCAGACCAGCTGCCTGCTGTGCAATCTTCAGCTCTTCCTCTCGCTGTTTCTCCTGCCGTTAATAGCAGCCATGGCAATAGGCCTTCGGCCAGCTATATGAACCTGCTGCCAGGCCGTTTAAGACACACAAAACTCCAAGAACCCGAAAGCATGTTGGGCAGAAGATCCACCTCTTCCAGACGCTGTCCTTGACAAGAGTCCAACGCTCACAAACGGTCTTGTTGTATGTCTGCCTGCCATCCAGTCCCAGCACTCGTGTTGGGGAGCCGGCTAGCGGCTTCTTCCTGCTCAGCCTGCTTTAGGAGGCGACTTCTCTGGCTCCGCCACTCCGCAAGCCAAAGCTCAGCTGGCCTCGAGCTGCTGGAGTTCCGCCTTGCGCCGATCGAGGTCCTCCTGTCTCTTCCTCGACTCCTCACGGTATACCACTCAGGCACAGGCTAGCCGCTACAGTACGGGTCCAGTCAACAGCCTTCGGACGTCAGGGTTGGTTATTCCTCCCTCCGGCGTGTGTCAGATTTTTGATCTGCCCGGACAAACTTACCTGCGCGCAGGATGATCTTCCAAACTCGTTCGCACCAGCTCCGCAATGAAATTTCTGACATCAAGCACGGCTTCACATCTAGCTCTCCAGTGATGTCATGCTCCGACAAACCCTCACGCGGCCAATGCCTCACTGATGTCGCCTTCGGCTATGCGGAAAAGATGGAAGGCTTAGACCTCAAACTTCGACCATATGATGCCGACTAGCTGAAATCGAAAAGAATAGAACTCTGACTATGACTATAACTCTATGTCTATAACTACCACGAGAAGCTTTAATTCGGCCCTCAAGCTGTCTTGGGATTCTTGCCAAACTGAATCACGGCGGTGGCGCCATCATAGTATTGGGGGGTACCAGAAAGCACCGGGACCTGCTCCTTACCTCCCTGTTCCGGCGTCCTCCTCGTGTCGAGATGCCTGCAGCAATGTCTGCTCTTCCTCCAGCGGGCAAGTTTTCAAACAAAGAACTTGAGCTGGGCTGATGCGCTAGGCTCAAAGGCGCATTGATATGGAGTGCGCTCGTACACATGCACTGGTGGAATTTGCGGCTCGCTCTGGCAGCATGTCCGAAAGCTTTCAAGAGTTTCCTTCCAGCAGCTTCAGAGGTGTACCTGCTCCTGGCGTTCCCTTACGAGGCGCTCCGCTTGCTGCTCGAGGCCTTCCCTGGAAGCCAGGCAAGCCAGCTAGGTGCTCAGCAACAGGCAGCTAAGAACGAGTTCTGCGTCGCGGCAATCGAGGCAACCGAGGCCGGCGCAACTCCGCGCGCTTCCTCTGCAGCTCGGCCTGTCCACTCTGCCCTCCTTTCTCTGCGGCGAGGCAAGCTCGCAGCTCCGAGATTTCAACCACGTTGAAGCTTCCGGATCACGGATTCGCGCGGATGCCCTCGAAATCTGTACAGGGCATCTCTTCGCCGCGAGTCTTCGCAGTGGCGACAGACTGGAAGCCATTTCAAGGCCTTACCGGCTGGGCACACTAGTTGCACATGTGCAGAGGCAGGTCAGTCAAACAAACGGGCGCTTGAACAGGGCTCCACTGCATCTCAAACAAGCACGAGATGACGCAGCAGCGTAGGAAGGAAAAACAGCTGCCACGCCCAAACTCGTCAGCCGGCCACGTCCATCTCCGATGGTGTGCTGGGTGACTCCATGCTAGAAGGCGTTTCAGTTGTTGCCTCTTGTAGGCCCTCAGACACTGGAGGAGGAGCCTCATCATCCTGCACTGCTTTGCTGGTGTCAAGCACGCAACACAAAGTTGGCAAATGCTGTTCTATCATTTGGACAGTCGGTAGGTAAGGTGTGGCAGCTCTGACACTTCCAACAACTATAGACACACAGCCAAAGTAATGTCGCACATGTCGCACACCTTTGTTCACATACCACAGTCAATACAGTCGCATCCAACACAGTGCCTCCGCGAGGAGCTTGGACAACTCAAAGCGCACATCCTTGGGCTTCACCTCGTTCCGCCGGACCGCTTCGCTGCTTTTACAGTTATCGCTTCCATGCGAATGCCGAGTCTGCCGAGCACAGCACCCAGCTGTAGGAGTTGTCAAAGGTGAGCACCAGCCTTCCATCCCTTGGCGCCGAGAAGCTGGAGCTCTCCTCACAGGCAAAGCCCCAAGCGGGTTTTTCCTCCCCAAAAACCTACCTTTGGCCCTGGCCTCCTGCAGTCGTCTGGCTGTGAACACTTCTTCCACTGCCTCCTGCACAACTGCGCCTGTACTCTTGCTATTACAAAAATCACTACAACGCAAACCTTTGCAATGACACACACACACACATGCGCAGGCAGGCATGCGGCATAGGCATGAGCCTTTCAGAAGCCAGCCTGATACCATAAACATGGAGGACATCAAACACAGGAAATTAGATTTAGATTCAACAGCGAGCACTCTATGTAAGTTCAAGCAGTGTGTGAAGTGTGCATTCTGGGCGCCCGCCATGCGTCCAGAAAGTGTCAGCGGTAAATCCAACGCATCGAAACGCGACATGCAGGCTCTCGCCGATAATCGAGCATGCTAGATTTCACAGCAGACCTGCCAGCCGGATCGGGGCTGAGTAGGATCCGCGTTGCTGCCACACTGAACTCCGACATTTCGTATCAATTTGGGCTTTGGGATGAGATACCGTAGCTTGTGCAAATCGTCTGGGAGCATTGCAAGCAATCACAGGAAAACGCCTGCAGCGAGCTCACAACGAAGCAGTTCTCCAAGTTCAGGAAAGCAGTAGATGGTGGATCTTGTAATTCAGATCTGGCAAGAGGACTCGATGGCTGTTTCACGATTTGTGCTGAAGCATTGCTCGTGCTTGCCGCAGAAGATGAAGGTGGCGAAGCACTTCGCCGTTCTTCTCGCGATTTCCATGGAGTGGAGCAGTCTTCGGAGATGTCTCTACCGATCTCAAGGATGGTACAACTACTGCACGTTTGTAGGCCGTGCGCGCGCATGAGCCTGCATCTGCTCGAACGACGAGATTTTGTCTTGCAGACGCCATTCTGATGCCGTGCGGCCGTGCTGTCTTCTGCTCACAAGATATACCGACCATAGGACCGTAGGAGATCGTGAGATCAACAGGCCAGCGGCCAGCAGCCAGCCTCCTCCGACTCGAAGTGGCAGGCAAACAGAATGTCCAGGCCTCGCGGCTCAAACCCATCCCAAAAAGTCACAAAAGGTCGGCCCTTGTGGAGGCGAAACGGGGCGTGGGCCGTTGGCCACGGACAGGCCGAAGGCCGCAATGTCGCCCTGCTGCAGATCAAGACTGCGCCTTAGGGCGATTCTGATGCTTGGAGCTTCTGCAGTGGCTGTCGGAACTCCGAGCTTCGCGGCTCTTCCGTCTGTCCAGCTTTGATGAAGAGTTCAGAACCTGCACACGAGAGAGTTGACAAGTTTAGCAGGCCATCCGTTTGTCCAGCGTGGCTCATGGACCCCAGTGCTAGTGGAAGTCAACCCAAGCATCTGCACTCACACCGACAGATGTCACAAGGCTACTGCCGTGAACCGAGCCTGATCCGTTAGCTACTAGCGCGGCTCGTGCGGGCACGAATTCAGCATCAGCAGCACTTCCTGCAGCCAGTGCCAGCACTGCCCAAGCTTGCTGCGGAGAAAGGCCAGGTCTGAGCCTCCCAGGAACTCTGGCAGGTTCGACTCCTGGGCGTGCGGGCGCCATTGGCTCACAATTTCAAGGGGAACTTTCTGTCAAGACAGGAAACGAGCAATGTAATCCTGCGAGCCTCCAATTCTGAAGTGAATGGTGCGATGACAAAAAGACCATGCACAGCAATGCAAGAGTAATGCAAGTCTCAGTGGTCATGTCAAAGGTAGATGTAGCTGGAATTATAGCAATCTAGCAGCACCACCTGTAGGTCAATCGCGGCAACCAATCCATGTCACGCAGAAAGACTGGGCTAGCAGCAGTACATCTGAGAAATTCTGAGAAGGCACCCAGCTAGAAGGGCGAGCCACAGAATCGTCTCCACTTCCTATACCGGGGTGCGCACGTCGACCAGCTGCTGCAGGCGCTCCTGCTGGTTGCTGCTGTACACTCGTCAGGTGCACAATGTAGGCATTGACGCCACTGATTTCTAGGTCTGCCTCATAAGTGCAGGCTGGGAGCGGGAGTTTGCGCCATCGGCACGACCTGGAGCTTCTTAACCTCAGAAGCACGGCTTCTTTGTTTCGCTGAGTTTACCAAACGGGCTCATAAGAGGAAAAGGAAAAAGAGCATGCAGTACCAGGAGCACGTGCAATGCACGCGACAAGGGTTTGCACAACATGCATGGCCCTCGTTCGGCACGTCATGGAAAAGAACAGAAGGACCCAGCGCAACATCAAGAGCATTTCATGCAGCAGCTATGCAGTCCATATCTTGACAATGCATTGCCACGGTGTACGCGTTTTCGCCCCGAACCTCTTGCAAGTTTCACTGCTCACCCACATCAGGGCTAGTGGGTCTGCATGGACATGGTGTAGAGTCGTAGAGCAGGCCAATGCCATAGGAGGCCGAACCGACTTTGGCAACCTCCCGTCCCACGCGCAAGCCGAGATCGAAGAAAACGAATCCAGACTCCTGACCGCTTCAGCGTCACAGCGCAGACGCGAGCGCTGCATTCGGTTACACATTGACTCGGTAAAGTAGACACTTCTCTCCTGGCTCAGCCCGCACAGCCCTCTTCACCAGAAACAACTTTGTTTAGTTGCATTCGAGCTCGGTCTTCGAGTGTTGTGTGACATGTTGTGACACTGCACCTTGCAAGAAGCTGAGACCTGGACCACCCTCTGCGGCAGCAAAGGCGTCAGGATCCGCAGAATAGCGTGCATGGCCCATGGGGCATTCACCAGCAGAACAGACTCCATCACACCTCAGAACACATCTGACCTCTCAAGGCCCTGTCCCTCGCTGCGTTCCAACGATACGAGCCGCCTGGATAGTGCTCGTCCATCATGCTGGTAAGACGTCTCATGATCTTGGACTTGCTGCCATGCTTTCGCCAAGCCTCGACACGGGAAAGATTGTGCGCAAGGCTACTCAAGGAGAGATGTCGTTCGTTGCCTCTGTGCACCGACAAATTACGTAACTTGCACATGGAGAACATCGCGCATCATGCAGTGGCTAATTAAATACTCGTGTCTGCGGGTGATCAGTTGGCGGCCCTTGCAAACGAGCGGTCTCGAAGCCCAGGCAAGCGCAACGGGGACGTCGTCAATAAGTGCATCCCATGCAGACAAGGAGCATTCAATAGTCCATTTGGTGCGAACATATCCTGGCAGAAATGTAGAGTGCAAAACTCGGCCTCACGATGGCATTATCACTTGTAGCGGGCCCTTCCCGTTCCGCCTGGACAATCAGAAGGCCGGTTAGTTGCCCCGTCGCTCGAGCGAAGTCTTCGAGCTGCAGCAGCCGCCACTCACATCTGAGAGCAGAGTGTGCAGCGCAGTCAGACCAGTTCAATCAGGACGGCAGGCCGTCTTTTGACGAGTGGCAAATGCGTCTGGAATTGCAACATCTCGTCCTCAAGGGGTCACTGGTTCTCCGTCTCGGCCCAGTTGAACAAGGAAGAACCGTGTCACATGGCATCTGTCCTCCGTGATAACCGAGAAAAGGCCAACTGCATCGGCAATTCCTGCGGCGCACTTCATCAGCTAAGGTACTGTACTGTACAGTATTTTAAACACACGTACATGTTAATGACTGTTCATGTACATGTACGTAGGATATATATATATATATATACATACACGCATTGCGACAGACCGTGCGTCTAGCAGATTCCGACGTCAGTTCGTCTAGCGCGGTCCGGTGGTCCTACACATCGAATGGCATAAGGCAAGCCCCGCTTGTCCACAGCCGCCCCGCCCTCACACTGTGGGAAGTGCTTGAGCACCTGTACTTGCGAGTCACGGCCGGAGAGTCCTAATATTGGTTACGCTGACAATTGGGTGCCGCACGGCTGGCCCATGTGGAAAGTCGGAAAAACTGCCGGGTGCAGGATTGCCACCACACAATAAAAGCATCGACAACCGGGACACTCGCAGCTTTTATAGCTTTTGGCCACAGCAGCCACGATTGCTCTTCCATGCTTGGCCTCATCTTGGGCTCTTCCAGCAACTTCTTCCTCACCTGTTCGGTGTGCAGGGACCGGGTCAGCCCCGACATATTCCAAATCATCCTTCCTGGAAACTGATCTCAGAACGGCCTCACTCGCACCGCTCTGCTTCCGCCAGGCTGCAGTGTGCGCAATGGCCTTTGCAAGGATACTGCAAACATTCGTTGTGTGCGCATCTGCGCATGAGACAGACATAGGTCTGATGTAACTGAGTATAACGCAAATGTCAAAATTTCTGTGTGTAAATGTAGGTACGGGTACAAGTATTCACACTCTCACTACATCACATGTATGTATATATATATATATACATGCACATATACATACAAATGAACCTATCAACCAGAAAAGCAAACATACGAACATTCAAAAACACATGAACACACCTACACACACGTGCACACATATACTGCGTAATTCAGGTGTGTATATATATATACATGAAAACACATCCATCCATCCATCCATCTAGGCAGGCATACATCCAGAGAAAGACTGGATGAAATGTTGTCAACTGGATTGCTGTTCAAAGGAACAGCTCAGATTGCGGTAGACGTGCATGTGCTCATGTGCAAGCCCTCAGCGAACTGAACGTTCAAGCCTGTGCAGACATTGGCTCGCGAATGCTGTAAACAACTGTTTAGGCAACAACAGCGATGATAATCAATGTGCAGCGAGGATTCTAGATTCTAGGTATTGTTACGTTTATTATCACATTGCAGGTAGGTCCAATGGCGTCCTGTTGGACTTCACCAGCTCTTGTTCAGTGTCTTCGTTGGTGCAAGACTGAGCGAGCTGCTTGCACCCCCTGCTGAAAAATTGACGAGCATGTAATCAAATTCGACCAGCCTGTGGTGTGTCAAGACTGCATTCACCCCTCGCTGAAAGCTGACTAGCATGTAATCAAGCGCAAAGGGCACGTGTGGCGTGAGAACCATATAACACACACACAGACGAGTCTGTAGCAGGCTTCCCGGGGCTTCCCGAACCGCAGCATGGCCTCTCTTGCGCGTGTCACGTCGAAGTCGCAGCGGGCCAGGAAGGCCGCAGCTAAAAGCTCCGAGTCGAGAGCAAGCAGGTCCTTGCTCCAGGGATGTTATGTTATGAGGACAGAAGCAGGACTCGGTTCTGATAGGCTCTGATCCTGATCCTGGGTCGTGCATGCCGTACTGGTATGTATTTGAGGTGTCGCCGGTTGCTCAGCGAACTCTTCTGTCGAAGGCCAACAAAAATCGGAAAGCTTTCCCACAACAACGACTGTTGGCTATCTAGCGAAAGCGCGGCAATCAGTTGGCCCTCGGAACGCCATCCCAACTTGGCAAGAGCTATCTCATCGAGCCGCAATGGTGGATGGTTATGGCAAATCCCGACAATGTTTCGGACAGACGTGGAATGGAAATTCTGGCGAAGCAAATCTACGGCCCCCACACCATCTGCTTCTGGAAGTGACCGCAACTCCTGGATGTGGGAGTTTGCAGTCATCGCTTGGCGAAGCGCCCCTCAAGCTTGGTGGCTTGAGCTCTGACTCTAGCCCTCTCCTCCAAGGCCGAAGCCACACGAGGATTAGCCCAGCGAATCTGGCCTGATTAGATTGACTACACAAGTCTCTGACAAGCAGCGGACACTCGAATCCCACTCGAAGCGGCACCTGCACCAGGTCCTTCGTCAGTGGAGTCTGCCATCACGATATGACGGAGATGATCTGAATCTGTTGGTGTGCTTACAAGTCACGCGCAAACTAAGTCGCTGGTCTTGGCTATCTTCAATGACTTGCGCATGCTCCTGCTGCAGGGTCATGACAGCAAGAAAGCCAAGAATGGCTGCAAAGACACCATGGAATCAAAGGCATGCGGATCCAAAGGCAGATTCGGCTCATGATATCAACTTTCCCGCCCTGCAGCAACAGCACGGCAGGGCAAGGAATCTGCGAGTTTCAAAGCAGACCTCCTACGCAGCACAAGAAAACCGCTGCTTTCGCTGCAGGCTCACCAGTGCCTCTTGCAGAACTGCTTCCTCCGCGAGGCGAGACCTCTACGTGTTCAGCAAGTTTCGATCTTGGGTGACTTTGAAGAAGATACACATTCGACTGAGCAGGTCCATACGCTGGCCAGCTGGATGATTTTGAGGTCGCAGCCGCTCTTCTTCTGCTCGGGCTACCTCGTTCTTAGCAGGACATCGCCCAGCTGTCTCTGCAAAGCGCTGCTTTGTCAAGCCTCTTGGCGCTGCTCTTCTCGAAGCTCCTGCGATCGTCTGGCCTGAATGGTTAACGGTTACCATGAAGAACGAGCCCATGCATCACAGCAACATTGTTTCGCTTTCGAGTACTGCTGTCCTTGAACCGGAACGCATGCACCGAGCAGGACGAGACAGCTTTTTACCCCTGCTGCCTTGAGTATGTGTGCTCTCAAGCACCTGCCCCTTTCGGCATCACCCCGTGAAGAAGATTCCAAGAGCAGCACCGCATCATCCCTCGCTTCTTCCAAGTCCTACAAGTATACAAGGATGTACAAGTAGGCTCGGCGGCACTCGACTGCGGGGGCTGACGGCCTCGAGCTCTTTTTTCCGGCGCTGGATCTCCTGTTGCTGCGCCTGAGACTCTGAGACAGCCCCGGGCACGCCGTATCCAAGCCACAGCCGCGCATGCATCATCATGCAGCAGCGCTCTGCCGCTCCGCTGGCTCCCCGCCTCGGCCTCTGCAGCACGCTTTTGGGCTTCCTCGGCGGCGGTCGCCAGGAAAACCTCCGTCGAAGTTTCGAACTCTCAGCACAGCTTTGGAACCCTCAAGGCTCAAGTCTGAAAGATCTGAGCTTCTTCGACTCGCGGTTCTTTTGCTGCGCCTCTGACGTCGGTGAAACTGTCGGCTCAGTAGCCGCCACCGAGCGGCCGGGCCCGGGCTCCTACCGTCCTTTCAGCACCGCTCGCAATGGTGCAGAATTGCTCGTGCCTTGTGTGTCCCCGTACCGTCGGAATGCTTGCAAGTTTACAAGTTCTCGCTACTGTTTCATCGCCCCTACTGGCAGGATGTACATGCATACCTTCGGCCCCGTTTCATGCCTGTGGGCACAGCATGTGTCTCCGAAGTTCACAAGAGGTTTCGATTGACAGGCGGACACCGGGCGCAGCGCGGAGCGGCAAATCTGTGTCCGACTCACAGATCTTCTCATGCGACGGCTTTGCCATGCATTTCCCGGCAACCATCAGATCTGCAACCAAGCTTCGACGATTCGTTAACGGTCTGAGCTTCCAGCGGAAAAGCGCTAATCGCAGCTGGGTGAGCCAGATCAAACATGATCTCAACAAAATCAAACCTTTTTTTGCATCTGGTCTGCAGCGACTCAACCAAGACAAAAACAAGATCATCAAACCCTTACCGTTCTGATCTTTGCAGGCTCTGCCCAATTGCACATCTTCTCTCTCCTCGCGCCGTTTGAAGGGCAGATGGCTAAGGAGAACATTGCTCCACGACATTGGAGGGCCTCTGGGCCCCAGAGTCAGGGCCCTCTCTGCCCTTCCAGGTATCTACGGATCTCGGGGATGCGGGGGTCGAGAGATTCACGCTCCGTCTCCGTGGCACGGGCGATCTCGGTGACAGCGCTCCACGCGAGGCAGGAGAGGCCTCTGATGCCAAAATGCAAAAACCACGTGTGCACAGCACATGCAAAGCACAGCGCAGCGCAGTGTTCTTGGGAGCTTCTTGCAGGGTGTATCTGCGTGTTGAAGGAAGGCGGCTGCAGCGCCACCAAAGCTCTGGTTTCATGATCTCTCTTCTGTAACGCTGCGGATGGGGCAACTGATCTCCCAACCATGGCAGGCAGTCCTTGACTTGACGGAGAAGCTTCTTGAGGCCTGCATGTTGCACTAAGCAGCGTTGCCAAAACTGCAAGCCATTTGAGAAGTTTAAGACACTTCAACCTTGTTTCGCGTGGGGCATGAATTCAGCAGAATCTGTTCTGGCTTGCGAACTCCTTGCCTGCAAACATTTCCGTCACTTCTCGCTTCAGGATCCTGGTCTCCAAACTCAGGAGCTCCACATCGGCCTCAGAAATACAAGCGAATCTTACGCAATGCTAGTTTCGGCTGAGAGCAAGTCAGAGAAGCCATAGATTCAATGTCGCAAACGCCCGATGTGGATTGGACTGACCAGTGCCAACCGGTGATTTTCCACGGCTCGAGATAAGATTCTTCGTTGGACGCTTTCTAACTGCGACTACTTGGAGCGGGGCCAAGCTTGCGGCTTGCCTACTTTGTAAGCCGTTGCTTTCTCACGGACTGCATCAGTGGAACCTGATACCTGAGTTCTGCTCTTCTGTCTGGCTTTTGTTTTGCTCAAACATCAACAGGAAACCTTTTGCAACAATTCCCCCATTGCACGCTTCGCGCTTGTGCTGATCTGGCTGTTGCGGATATCTAAAGCCGCACTGCTCGATGCCGTTCTCCTTTCTGAGATCTCGCGCTGCATGGGCCACCGTGTTTGCGAGCTGCATCTTCTTTGTCAGGGATTGCCTTCCCCAAAAGCCCCGACCCCCCGTGCGCGGCCTCGTTATAAGGGCTGTGAAATCAGTTGAGATCGAATGCGTGTCAGCGTCAGCATTTAACAAATGCTGACACCGGCCCTCGTCGCTCTGAGACTTCACAGCCCGGCATCTCCTGCAAACATGTCGATGTGTCAGACGAGAGACGCAGCGAATTCTTAGGGATGTGCATGCTGCATGCACAGCTCACACAGCATGAAAGCATGATGCCAGGCAGATACTGGGACTCCGTCTCGGGATGCAGAACCTTGGCTGTTTATCACGGGATCATCAAGACTGCCTGGTTTCGTGGAAAAGAAGCTAGAGATGCACCAATCCAAAAAGGGACCTTTCATGTCCACAATCTTGTACACGAGCTCCTTGATGCTAAGCTCTTTCTTGTCACCTGAGATTTATGGAATGTCACATGTCTCAAAGATCTCAAAGTGAGGCAGGATGGGACAAACCACCTGCAAGACAGACCACATGCAAGCCGAGAGGCTGAGTGAAGCCAGTGTGGTGAAGTACCTGCCGAGCTGTGTCAAAGCGCAAAGCCAGCTGCTAAGTACACTTGTAATGCCATGCCTCAATCCGCTTCAAGTGAAGCACGCACCGAATGACTAGATCGCCAGCCTCTCTGGCATGCGCATGTCCACACCTCAGACGGGTTCTGAGACTCTCCCTCCCTCCTGATAAGCCTACAGTTTATGAATGTTCCTGCTCACACTTCCAGACACAATGCTTTGAACGGGACACTGGCTTCACTCTTACGGAATCATAATCCAGAAGCTGGCCTTGAAAATCGCAAATTTCTTTCTTGCCCGAAACTATTCGATCCATTCGGATCATACTCGCACTTACGAGACCCTCCATTGCGCGCTGTTCGAAAGATAGCAACCAACCTCGGCTCGGCGTAATTACTTTAAGCAAAAGTTTAGGATGTGTTCGGGTCTGGGTTACAGGTTCACCACCCACGACCCAGAAGCGCATCATCAGGAGGCGAGCACCAATTGCCAAGGCACCGATCGACCGAAGGGAGTATTCGATCCTTTCGCTTGTGAGTCAGCAAGAGTGCTCAACAGGAGCCATGTGACAGAGCATCAAGGTGACGTGTAGAGGGTCCTTTCGTTTTGCATCGCCGTGAGGAACTCGCGGACAGAGATGAAGCCAGACTTGTCCTGGCATGTGTCAGCTGGACTTCTACCGTAGGGGACGTGGGCATGTTTCGAACGGGGTGATCTCTGCGTACAGCAAAAGGAGCCCGTCGCAAGGTGAGCTTCGAGCTCCGAAATTGTCTGGCTTTGTCCTTGTCAATCAGCTCCATAATCGCCTCACGAAACACAATCACGTTGGAGCAGAAGGGGAATCTTCCAAACTCCAGATACTGTCCGAGATGCTGTCAGGTATTCGACATCGCTACCTCACCGGCAATTTTCCGGGGTATTGGCAACATACAGCTGATTCGAGCACAAGTGCAATGTTTTACATACTTGCGCAGTCTTGAAGCACATTGAGAGCAACAAAATGGATCAGAATGTTTGGGCACGGCGAAATGCACGCAAGCGACGAAGCTGTCTCATGTGCTCGAGCATGGCCTCCTGAACAGTGAACCGAGAGCTGTGATCCGATGCAACGTCTCGGCTAACTTTGTAAAATTTCACCACTCTGAAAGCCTCGTCATCGGGCTTTGACAGGATAGATGCATGCTCGACAAACACACCTGGCGCGGGTGCCGACGCACAAGGTACCAGGCTTACAAGGCGACGTGGCCTGCAAGGCTGCAAGCCACAGTGCAGCCCAAGCCCGGCTTCGAATTGTTGCTTGATCGCACATGGGAGTGCACCATGACGGATGCCCGAGCGTGCCTGTGATTATGTTCATCACAGCAAACCTGCCGGAACACACATAACACACATCTGCACCCGAAAACAAAGCTGTTCAAAAGGCAAACAGATCCGCGCATTTCCAGGCGTGACTTCACGCTGGACTCAAAGTAGGTGCGATCAGGCAGCATGAAGAACACCATGTAGAAAAGGAAGGCTCCGGCTGTATCCCAGCCGACTGGAGAGATCAGTTTCCAGACCTGCATCGGAGTCTGCAAGCTTCTCGAAGATCCCTCTGTTTACTAAGTTGAAATTCTCGACAGAGAAGCACTTGAGGGTGCGTGAAAACCCCCCACCCATTTGCTTGAACCTTAACATGGCTATCGTTTTATTTTGCTCTTGTCGTTTTACAGGACTTTAAACTGTATGATCTGAGCCAACGTTACGCTATCGTTATTTTTACTCTTATCGTTTTACAAGAAATTCGATTGCTCTCAAAGTACGGATGCATCTACTTTAAAAAATGCTCTCGGGGTTTTATCACCCCTCACTTGTCTGTGCCGGCATGCTCGGCTGCTTCAGCTATTCCCTGCTCACTCACAGTGAACGGAAGGCAGTGGGAGTTTAGCAGTTGAGCATGGTATTTTTGAGCAAAACATTCCCAACATGCCTCCTCCCAGTCTTTGCCCCCAGTGGAAGCCATACCCAAGACCTTAGCCCGACCACAAAATTGTGTAGATTGACGCGCGCAAGGTCCATCGTCAACACATGGCCACAAGTCCGGAAACAGCAGTTGGTTGCGGTGCAAGCAGCATGCATTGTGGAGAAGATTGTTCGGAAGTAGTAACGCTGGCAAGCCCATAACTCGGCAGGGTCTTCAGGGCCACCAGGGCATTTGTCCGGCGCATCAACAGCCGCATTGGCGGCCAAGTACGGAGCCATCTCCTCTCAGGCGTTCGACGCAACAAGGGCTTGTGCCACTCTCAGCCCCGATGATGGCAAAGCCCTTACGCCGTAAGACAGTCCGACTTTCGCTAACAACCGATCCCTGTCTGGTCGAAGCCGTCCTGCATGAAGAAAAGGGCAAACAAGAAACTGGTGAACACCAGCATGACCTTGGATAGTACAGTTGCAAGACCTTGGTGCGGTGTTCTCTAGTAGAGGAAATCTGCCTGGAAACACTTCGCGTCTCGCCGTCACCCCGTGCATCCATTCCAGCGCTGCATGGACTACTTCGAGCGACTGAGTGTGCCCTTCCACCTACATGCCTCCATTTGCGATGTTGCGCGTGAGCTCCACTAGCGCTACAAGCAGTGCAGGATGGGTCAACAGACTCATGCCAAGTTTCGAATGCCCAGAACAAGGACACAATGGAGCCCATCATGCAAATCAGCATAATTCTGACCTGCCGAATGCTTGCAGATGTGTGAATGGTGTGACACAAGCATGGGTGCTGGAGCTGCACAGGTGCGACCTTCCGGCCACACTCTTGCGTACGCTTTGATAAGCTTGCGTGGCTAGGGGGCTACAGTCGCAACTCCAACAAGTTCGTACCAGACCTGACTTTCCCCACGCGGCAACATGTAGCATGCCTCACGCAAGAATCTGAGCATTCGGATGACACCTTAGTTCTCATGGCAGGCAGCTGAAGGCGGAGTATGTGTCAGCGAGGCCAGAGGTGTCATGAATGCCTTGATCCGCTAAGACGACTTTCGCCATGCAGCGCAAGATCTTCGCGACTCTGAGGACTCGTAAAGACCTGGAACAGGGTAGTAACAGTGTAATCAGAGTGTAATGCAAGCAAGGCATGACATCGTCGCAACAACGCAGTTGCTCATGCGCAACAGTAGAGCTGGCAACTGCTGCACTCCCAGCCTCGCAAACGAAACGCCGCCCACCGGCAGCGCAAGGCCAAGAACATCACAAGCGGATGTCGCACAAATCAGGAAGTCAAAGCAGTTCCAATGCCAATCCTTGCAGCGCAGCTGCTTAGCTGATCGTGCAGCAGCCGACAGTTTTTAAGATCATGAGCCCAGCAATTGTTTATTTGGCTCTCTGCAGCCTTTCCCAGAGCGAGTTCTTCGTTCGAACTGATCGATCGTTCGGCACATGGCTAAACCTTTCCATGGCAGTGGTGAAAACGTCATCGCATACGTCCTAAATCGATGTTTGCCTTGCTCTCATCCGTACTGCATGGCATTGCACGGCCAGGTCGGGCAAAACGGCAGACATGACAGGCAGCTGCAAAACGGCACTCCGAGTGAATCAGCACTGCCGAGAAGCAGAAGCGGCGCGCACGTATAAGATCGTATAGGACTCCAACTGAAAAGAGTTAGAGGAAAATGGTGTGCAGCCGATGCCTTGTACGAGCAGACGACGAAGATCTTAACAAAATCGTGGATTAGACGTCTTGGTTAACCTTCGACGGAATTCTCATAGACGGGCACCATGCGGTAAGCCACCAGCAGCGGAGCACGAACCTAGTGCTCGAACACCTTACGCAACACTGGCAATTAAATCGACTGCAGACGCTTGGCAAAGGTAGGCCCATGCAGCTGGGACTTGATCAGAAGAAAGACTGAGCTGGGAAATGCTGGGAAACCAAGGGGCAAACAACAAAGGGGCGGACGAGGGTAACGAAACTGCAAACGACCCCCGGTCGACTGCATGGTAAACTTTATAGACATTCCTGTCAACTCACACGGCAGAGACTTCGATACAGCCGTCAGTCATCCCTACACTGGCCACGCACTAAGGTTTCGCCATGTGAACCACTGTGCCTCGTTGACGAAGAAGTACAGGCGATGAACGAAGAGCTTCAAGAGCAACCTGTTGAAGCAGCCTACGCATTCTTGAACCAGCCTGTTTCTCTTCGGAGCCCGTGCTCCAAAACACTGATCAACTAACAGAAGTCTCATCGAAACAACCGGTCTTTCTGGCAGCTGGCTCCAAGACAAAGACACCGAGAAAGACCTGAGCATGGGGACGGCCCTGGCAGGCACATGCCGCCAGATAAACACACAAACCAACCTCAATGCCGAGCAAGGTGCTGCCTCCATGGTTTGATGATACTCATGCTCCTGGCCCAGGGTCTCCATCTCATAATTGGCCTTTGCATGCACAGCGTGGCTGTGCAGCAGGATTCTGCTTGCCGATTCTAGCCTATTTCGAGGAGACTCGAGACCGGAGCTCAAGCAATTCAACGAGCTGACGAAAGCGAGCGGGCAAAGCTGGGCAAACCATGTCAATGTGTTCACTTCTTAAGCGCTGTCTCAGGACCACAAATGCTTTCAGCAACAAGCCACACCCAGCTGTCACAGCCGCTGCCAAACTCACGGAGAACGTGTTGTATCAAACTTGGAAAGTCTTCAAGTCAATCCTTTTCCACTTGCTCGCAGTGAATTCCATTGACTACGTTGATTGCAGGTGCCATGAAGCAGTGGACTTGGATTCATTAGGCAGGCTGTCGTACTTGTAGCAATGCGCGCGGGATCGGGCGTGCACCACACACTCTTGTGTCACACAGAGGTGCTTCGAGTCTGGTCGGTGTGAGACAAAGCGACTTTGAGGGTTGCGTGATATGTATTCCCCGCCGATAATGTCCTTCTTATCTATGTCAGCGAACTGCATATGCGTTGTTCAACCTCCCCAATGAATTACCTGGCGGCGACTTCCATGTTTCCGGTGTTCATGAAGTCGCTGCATGGCAAGGTCTGGAATTTCTGCACAAAGGGTTTGGAATTCGCTAGGGCATGCTAAGGCCAGCCGAGATCTCTCCGACAGCACGGTGATTTGGAACTGGTTGCACAAGCTGGGCGGCACACTGAATATGTGGTGTATGCGGTATTCGCCACAATAGCGCAGACCACAGCAGAGACCTTGCTGCTACAACCACTGCATGAAGTCTGTAGCCGTTCCGGAGTTCAGCACGATGACTGAATGCTGCAACTGTCGTGGATGCAAAGGAACACGACGCCTGATCATTTGCCACCAAGCGACGAAGATCGGATCCTGGATGAACGCCGCCAGGCAAGAGGTCCTTTCGGGCTCCTCGAGGTTTGCGGCCCACGACAGCCTAAGGACAGTCCAAGCAGCCCCAGCACACAGCATGGCTCCTAACAGTCCACGCAACTCAAAGCACGAAGGGGAAAGGGAGTGAAAGAAAGCTAAACGAGAGTGTTTAGGAATTCAAGACCAAGCGACGAGCTCATCAGTTGAGTGCTGAGCTGCTTCACGCGGCAAGCGACCCAGGAGGACATTATGGGCGGTGGCGCGGCCTCCTCGTTTGCTCCTGAGCCACGCAAGGCTGACACTTCGAGGGTGATGGTTTTGAAAAGATCTCTTGCGATATACGAGAACGCCACCTCCAGTATCTTGACGTCAGATCGAATTTGCTGGTGCTAGTTTCTATTGTTTGACCTGTTTGATCTACGGACTGTCCATCTCTAACCGTGATGATACCACATTTTGTCCATAGTCTGTTCTGCACCATGCTGCCAGAGGTTCGGAGGAACCGTTTGTGTCGCAAGCGAGCATTGCGAGCGGCCCTTGGATCCCACTCGATTGAATGCAAGGAAAGCTTGTAAGAAAAGAGCCATGGCCTAGGCAATTTGTTCGACAGGCAGCTACTACTATACGAAATGAGCGTGCGGTGCCGTGCGCGAATGCAGGAATCGGGAGCATCACATCGTAAGCGCGGTCAAAGTCATCTGGCAAAGCGTCCAGGGATTCAGAAATGCCTGGAACGCGCCGCCACTTTGAGTATGGCGCTGTTGCAGCTTTTGTTCCTGCAGGCAGCACACGCAATTCGTACTTGATTACCGACACCCCCCCCCCCCCCCCCCCCCATCACTGCCCGTTCTGCCCCATACCTGGGCTTGCATCCGTCTCGAGGGCCTGCTGCGCCACCGCGGCTCCAAGGTCCTTCGATAAGGACCTGTTGGCTGTAGGGTTGCTCATCGAATCCTGCACAGAGGGTGTTTGCAACAACAAGTCAACAGCGCGTTTTGCCGATCGGTGATCCAGCGCTAGACTCTGAAAGTCTTAGGGAGGGCAAGTAGATGGAGGAATACACCCCTACATAAACGAGGTTCAGGCAAACCTCAAGATGCAGCCTCTATGTTCAGGCTGGCAAGCGCGACAACGGCATTGCCTTCTACCTCGGCGCATTTAAGATACGATAACACTCTTACATGGTGTGCATGTAGATGTTGATAGATGCAGACACCGTTGTGTATGTCGGGATGCGACCCTTTGCCTGAGGGCGAGAGCAAGAGGACAGAGAAAAAGAGCGAGAGAAAGATAGAGCAAATTGAGGGAATCCCGGAAGGAGAGATTGAGATTGAGATCAGCGCATGTATCTCTACCTATGTATCCATACGTAAAATACTGTATGTGCCCTGGTCTGAGCAACCTTTTGGGCGGCATTCAAACGTTATTTCTCGCCACAACAGTCTTCTCGACCTCTGACAACACACCAAGCACTGGTTGCAGCAAAGCCTCCTTTGTCGAGTCTTCCCTGGGTTCGAGTGTCCACAGGAACATGGAATGGAATATTGGCAAACAGCTTTCCATCGCTTGCCGGCCATAGTTGTCAACTTTTGTGTGGCTGGGGATACATGTAGGGTCTCCTCAGCAGAGCTGACAGGCTAAGCCACGGCTTCCAGCACCGCTGCAGTGTGCACAGTCGGACATCGGGCATCAAGCTGACGTGGACTCGCAGGCCGGCAGATCAGACTCAGAGAGAGCAGCTGGCAAACAAAGAAATGCCAAGCAGCAGCACCAGTACACACTCCGTTGCAGACCCAAGAAGACATACATCGCAAAATGCATACACAGAATGTACAAACATATGAGTTCATACAAGTATGCAGCATAGGTATTATACATGTATATAGCCCATATGGCTCAGAATGTATCTATCCAGGTTCGATTTCTGTATTTTGAAGAGATACTGTAAGGATGAGGTGGCCAAGGCTCGGTCTGGGTCCTGGTGCAATCGGCTCCTTCACGTCGTCGCCGTTGAGCCAAGTTCCTTCGTGCTGTGCCTCGTAGGGGAATCTAATTTATCATTACTGTTATCAGTATAGCTAGCTATTATTACTGTTACCATTATTGAAGATTGCTAGTCTTATTACTTTTCGACTTCGCTTGTGGGGAAATGTGCACCTTGTCCTCTGCTGCTTCCTTCTCGCTCGGGACCTTCGCAGTCTGGGCTCCACCCTTGCAAAGCCTCAACGCCTCTTCTCAGACAAGTGGCCGGATCGTCAAGCGCCTCTCGATCGAAGCCTCGACAGATCACCTCGTCAGGTGAAACTTTCCCATGCCGAGCTCTTAACAGTGCTGCTTGCGAACGATGTCGAATTGCTGTCTGCGATGCACCCCCACGAATTCTGAGGGCCCAACCTGGTCACGTGCCAGCTGATCAAAGAAGAGTTGCAGGCGCTCATCTTGCTCTCGCAAGTGGTCCTTCCAAGCCGGGGCACGTGTTTCGGATGGCACGCCGCGCACGCCTGTCTCGGCAACAGCAGCAAGCGCAGCAAGCAGTCCTCGAGTGCGCGCCGAAACCTCGCACTTCGGCCGACATGTTTAAGAACCCACTCCGGCTGTCGAGGTGATGCTGAGACCACGCTGGCTCCAAGTGGCTCGTCGGAGAAAAGTTCCCATGCAGTTGTCACTGCAAGACCTGGCCACTGCATGTGTCCCGAAACAAGAGCGGCCGAGCCTTCAAGACTGCAGCACCGTGAGAAAGCTACGAACTCTGAGATACTACCATGGTATCATAAACATGGCCCCTTTGGTGTGTCAATGCCCCCTTTCATAGAAGCACCACCGACAATCTGACTTCATTTCTGGCTGGACAACGTGACATTCCCGGAGCTTTCGGCCATGTGGCGCGGTGAGGTCACTTCAACATGGCTCGGCTCAGCCATTGCTCCGGTTCATGGACAAGGCAGGGGTGATTCTGTCATCGTCCTAGAATCCTATCTTTCTCGACTCATCTCAAGCCCCCGAGCTACGACTGCTTATGACAAGTTGCGCATGCATGGCTAATAGACTCAAGAAACGTCAGAGTCTGAGGGACATGCGACCGTCCAGGTCTAGTGCGGTCTAGATCTAGGATGTGATCGGGCAAGAGCATTCCGGGCTTCCAATGTTGATCAGGAGTGGCTTCGGAGAACAGATGCCATCTCTCACTTCTCGTCCTGACCGCCAAGAGATTAAGGCAGACCAGCCTGGAAATCATGTTTCTGTGTCTGCTAACCGGAGACTTGCACCTGTTTGCTGCCTTCTCCCTCCTGATTGTTCCAGCTGCGCCCGCCTGCTCCTGTTCAAGACGCCGCTCTTCGTCCTCCTTTTGCCTGTTAAGCAGCCAATTCATGACACCCATGGAATCTCGAATGCCTCTCCCGGATTCAGCGGGCATTCGGCATCGGTGACATCCACTTACAAGAAATCCAACGCACTCCAACTACATGGGCACTATCACCGCGCCGTGGAGCTCGGGCCTCCTGGCGGAGTCTGTCTCTGCCTCGAGTGCCTCCAGCTCTTCACCTTTGAATACAACGTGTGTATGGTAATCATCCTGCAAAAACCCCTATTCTCTGCAATTCACAACCACCGGACCACCTCCGCAGCAACCTCCAACCTTTATCTGTATCGATCTTCATCGCCAACCGAAACATCGTTGGCGTCACTGTTGTTGCCAGTTCTTGATTGTGATGATGCTGGTGATGACGATGGTTCTTCATGGTAGTCATCGGCGAGATCGCCGCCGTCATACGAATATGTCATTGACGCAAGGCGAAAGTGGGACCCGTTGCCGCCGATGCCGGCATCATAATGTGAGCTGCAGCACGCAACCCGACGCTCCTGGCGCTCCGATGTCTGCATTTACCCAAGGTGCTTGATCGACTGTCTATGGATTCCCTGAAGTTGCTCGAACTCAAGTACGCTGCAGTACCACGCAATTTCGGCTCGACTTCTGCCCTCCGGCCCCTCCGGTTTCTGAGAGCCGTTCGCTTTCGCTGGATCTCCGCTTCCGCTGAGGCGGCTTCGGCAGCACGCTGTCGTCGTGCCTGCCCGCGGATCAGCTCTTTGTTACATCGGCTATTCCAAGACCTTCCCGCTTGAAGTCTCGTGGTTTGCCTCAGCAGCTCGCTGAGCCTCGGCCTCTTCGTCCTGCCACGAGATGCGAAGGGTTGCCGAAACCGAACTCTGAGGGCCAACTTTGATACCGATTTTGGATTGTTGGATTCGATTGGGAGAGACTTGAAGACCAGACCACTTGATCACAGGCCTCGCGAAGCTTTTGCTGCTCTTCCAGCTTCCTGTGCAGGATCTCCTCTCTTTCGGCCTCGTCCGACAGGACAAGCATTCGGAAGCGGGGGGATGTGTGAGCGATGCGAGGTGTCCCGAGCCTCCAAGGCTCGGAGCTCTTCGCGCTGCTGGCGAAGGGCCTCGTTCCCAACCCTCCCCCCTCGACGTGTTCCCACACCTGGGCAGCCTCTTGGGATGGGATTCACAGATGTGCGTCCCATCCCCCTGCTGTTGATTGGGGCTTGGCAGTGTAATGCAGGTTAAATCCCTGGAACCAGGAGTCTCACACACACACACACACACACATGCAAGCACATGCAAAAACAAAATGACGGCGGAGTGTGTCAGCAGCGCAATGCAGTATGCGCAGTGCATGTGCCTCCTGCTGCTGCTCTGCCCATCTCTGTAGCTCTGCGGAGAAACGCTGCTCCTTCGGAAAATTGCAATAGCCTCGTGGGACCGGCCACTGGCTCCATCGCACTTAAGCTCCGCAGCTCCTCCTCCATCTTCTTCGCCAGTGCCTCTTCCCTCGCGGCCTGGTACCATCCCGGAGACAGCACGACAGGTACCAGCAACTCCAGAGAGGCTCAAACGATGACATGCGCCTCAACCGCTTGCAGCTCCTCTCGCCGACGCTGTAGCTCTGCGCGCTGCTTCTCAGCCTGGCAGCGACCCCCCTTTGAAACTCTGGGCAGCGGCTTCAAGTCATGCACTCTCTACATCGACTTTCTGCCAATGCTACGCGCCTCTGCCGCGAGGCGCTGGGTCTCCTGCTCCCCTTCCTGCACACGCACAGGCCTATCGAGTAGCAGAGCCTCTGACTTTGTCTGATGGAGTTCTGAAGTCAAAAGAACAGTTTGTGAGCTCTCACTGTCCAGCCGTCCTGCTTCCGACGCTGCATCTCTTGCTCTTCTCGCTGCGCCAACTCCTGCACACGATGTGCATCGGAGTTACGGTCACACCTGCCGTCCTAATTAGTATGTCGAAACATGTCGAAACCATCGAATCATCACACCCAGCTCCGGCAGCCGTCCTGGCGTTCCTCCTCCAGCGCCTTCAACTCCTCGCGCTGCCGTCGCAGCTCCTCGTGCTGAGACATCAAGGACGAAAGGTGTTCCGGAAGAGATTTACACATTTACATTGCATGTCCTCTGCATTTACTACTTCCAGTGTGCCAAGCGTGCCTCCTGAACACGCTGCGACTCGCGCTCTGAATCTTCTCTGCGTTGCTGCTCCTCCAGGCAGGATCCAGTGTCGAGACCGCATGATATGATGCCGAACGAAGATCCAGCTTCTGAGTCTCCTCCACCGAGCGTTTTGCCAGCAATGCTTGCTTCTCCTCCATGCAGTGCATCGATACTTGCCCCAACAGACCGCACCACCCAAAGCTTCCCCCATCTTGCCTCTTCCATTCGCCGCAACTCTTCCTTCTGCCTCTCTAACTCCTCCCGTCTCTGTGCGGCTTCTGCCTGCGAGGCGCCATCTTTCGGGGGCTGTCCCGGGCTCTTGCTGGCAAAGGCAGTGGCCGTACAGTCCCGAGACCGGGCCTCCTGAGCGGCCTGCTGTTGCCGGAGCTCCTCGTCCAAACCGGCGAGGCCACAACGATGCAGCCGTGCACAAATGCCACTTGCAGCCAAAGCAGTCCTCCCGCAGCTGTTCCAGCTGCACCTGCCGCAAGCTTGGCCACATCCGGCAGCAAGCCGCATCATGCCACATCCATAGCCCGAATGTGCCTTCTCCCGGTTAGCCTGCTCTTCTTGTCTCAACCGCTCCCGATCCAGCTCCTACAGCTATGCTCAGGTATGGACAGCCTCTCCAACCCTGGCAGGAGTCCTCGCGTTGCGCTTCGAGCTCCGTCTTTCGTTTTGCTGCCTCCTCCTCCTCCTTCTGCAGCTGCGCCTCGTTGCAGCACAAACCAAGCACCCCGGAACATTGCTCCAAGAAGGGGGCCTTCTTGAGTTTCACAGGATCCTGCGATGGCAGGGCAGGAGGAGGGCCGACCTCGCACATAGTGGACAAGCTTAACATGCAACGGCAGATGCCGATCTTGATTCACGATCTGCTGGCAGAGATACTGATACTGACATGGTCAAGAGATGTCAAGAGTCAAGAGCTCAGGTGCGCGCCCAACCAAGACGAGAATTTCTGAAAAGGAACTCACTGCCGCTGGACCCGGCAGGCATTTCCAGCCGCACCTGGGAGGCGACGATGTTCGGCATTTAAACCATAGCCCACTGTGGAGTCTATAATATGGACTAGAGAGCCAAAGGCCAAGTGCCCGGCATCGGTGTCACGGCGCGGTCCTCTCACGTCTTGCTTGGTGACCTTGCCACATCATATCATTGCATCCTCGCCGGTCGTCCGCGGCTAGTTCCGCGGGTTCAAGAGGGCTTACGCCCACGGCTCATCACTTCTAAGACGAGCGGCTTCCATGACAATCTCGCCATCCTCCACCTGCCGTTTGGGGTTTAGCAATCAACACGTGAGGCGACCGGAGAAGCCACAAGGGGCAGGCCTCGTAGTTGCCTTCACACCGCCATGGCGGTTGACCGCCCTCGAAGAAGTTCAGCTGCGGAATGCACTCCAAGGTACATCTGGCAAGGCATTCAGCTGCAGCTCAGCACTCCTAATCTTACTCTCAGCCTCACTCTGTGCCGCATTCAGCAACGCCCACCTACGAGTGTCGTAAAGGACAAACTCGTACGTGACCTCGGCTGCAACAGTCCGGCAGCTGCACCCTGGACTCACCATCAGACAGCAGCCTACAATTTCCAGTGAAAAGGTGTCGATATCACAAGGAACCAGTGCCGAAGATGTCGCTCATGGAATCACCCGATGCCGTGCTGTCAAGGTGCATGGTCTCCAGGACAAGTCACATCTCTGGCAGACCCGATGTACACTCCCAACTTGGGGGCTTCATCCATGCCACACACAGCCGACGATGTGGGGCCCGTCGTTCAGGGGTGGCTCAAGATGGGTAATGATGCTGGGGCTTCTGCAACGGCGAGATGCGGAAGATCTACGGACCGGAGCTTGACGTCTGCACCACATGCTAGTCCCATGTTCCTTGAACACCAAGCAGCTGCCGGCGACATCGACAAATCCTTTCTTGACAACACATTGTGTTAGCGCACAGCCAAATGGAAAAACCAGAGGTCCAAGTCTCCAAGTCTTTGACAAGCCCAAAAAAGTCTACAGTGCAAGCAAAAGTTCCCCATCTTCCTGCTTGTCTCAACAGTCCGCGCGTCCACGGCTCCTGCCCTCCTTCAATTGGCATTGGTTAGACAACCGTATTTTGCACATCTTTTTTTGCCTCTCACCCAGCAAAATTGCATTGCCAGCCTTTTCTGGCGCAGCTATTGTTCAAAAAACGGCCCACGAAGCCAAGTACAGGAAGGCAGTCTCCATTGATGGACCGCAATCCATACACCCTAAGTGCCTACAGCAGGTTGACACCCCACGCTTCACAAAGCAGTCTGGGGTCTGGCCCATTCAAACCTCACCAGGTCCTGGGGCAGGAGCTTCGATGACCTTCCACAAAACATGTTGGTGCCACTTGCAATCGGAAACTATTTTATGACTAGAGCAAGTGAGGATGGATCACTGGCCGCGGGCCAAGAACAGGCGCTGCTGCATGGCCGCGCAACCCGAACGACGACTGCACACGATATCACGGTCTCATGAATGCAGATGGCTTAAGTCATGGGCCATTGGGCTTACAAGCCTAGTGTGTGGGCCTGTGTGAACCGGTGGGAGTCTATGATGCTTTAATTGCTTATTATTGAAGCTCGCACCACAATTTAGGGGGTGGTCTCTAAAATGCGTTGGCTGTTTTTTGGGTGGTTTCTTTCAGCTAATGGTCAATCTCAGGGCACCCCGAAGCTCTCCCTGTTTTCTAAACTTTCCGTTGCCGTAAACCCTAAACCCTAAAAACCTTAACCCTCTATACTATTACTGTACTACTATTGTACTATTACATGCTGCACCACTGTACCATTACTGTACTACTACTGTACTAGTGTACAGTGCTAGGCCACAGAGTTGGTCGATTGTGGAGGGGAGTGTAGGTTGGAGGAAAACGTCTTCAAAATAAAAGGCTTCTATTCTTGGTCCGTATCTTGGAGTGATCGGGGCTTGGTTTCGAGCTTTTGGTGATCCTCCAACCCCCCGACCCGGGCATAGGCGGAGACGCAGACCCTGCACCCAAAGCCCTTGGACCCTTGAAGTGCCTTCTAACTTAGTCAAAGCCATCGAGACCCCAAGCCAACCCAAGCCCCCAATCTACCGAACCAACGTCAAAGGGGTTGCGGGTAACATATTAGCGAAGCCTTCCGGAAATGCGGGGGGGGGGGAGCGTTAACCGTATATTCTGCTTCGCAGGTCACGATTTCTGCTGCCTGCAAGCGCCCAACACCGAAACGGGCGCTTGACAGCAGAAAGTTGACGCTCGCGAATCCTTGATTCACGACTGCCACAATCTGGCTTTGCAACAGTTGGACCGGCGCAAGGGGTTGGTTTTTCATTATCTGGGACTGCCTTCCACCACCGGCCACATGATTCTTCATGCATGATGTTCGCCTTTCTGCATCTTTTCGCCTTTCGGCAGTGCTCCGTTTCAGAAGTCACGCTTTGGGAATTCGCCCACGACTTGAAACACGCAGCGACGCAGCTGCGATCTCTCTCTTGAGAAACGCTCAACGCCGCTTAACCCTCAGCCGCGTGTCTTTCATACTCTGCCCTGCAGGATTGCTAAAGGGCACCTCCCAGAGGGCATAGCCGTTGGTGTTCACGTTCCTTATGTGCCGGCACGTGCGGCTGCGCACAGTGAACCATGCTTACGTCCACCACGCATGAATCCTGCGGCCAGACAGCGCATAGTTCACCGAGTCAAACTTCACGGTGACCGGGTACTTCACCTCCGGCTTCTGGTTGACATTCCTTATGATTCGGAACTGATTCGGACTGGGTCCGACATCTGCCGGTCTGCTGATCTCATGCACTACCTCAGTCGCAAAGTCTGGCCTTCAAAAGCAAAAGCTTGCGTGCAACTGAGCATCACCACCTGCCCTCTCTGCTGGAACCAATAGGACTCAGGCCGCAGGATCTTCACCCAGGACCCCTTCCTGGTGTGTCTCGAGATGCGGCCAAAGACAAACGGAGCCATGCACACGCTGGGAGGTGGTGGGTATATCTCAGGCGAGGCGCTTGGGGCCAACCCAGGGTCCCTTGGCCTTTTTCTTGGGGGCCTTCTTCACCTGAAGCAACTCAAGCACGTCGAAATGGGTTGAGGGATCCAAAAACAAACAGGGAGCAACAAACATAAAATGTCATCTCCTGGAGGGCATACTCAAGATTAACAACGTTCGGATCAAAACATATAATAAACATGGATATGATTTTCTGCTGTCCAACCAGCGTCGCAGCACTGTGGGGGTGTTTAGGTTCTTGTTTTCTTGGGGGGAGGGTGGGGCGGCGGGGGCTTTCGAGAAAGGGGCAGGGTGGTTGGGGTCGCAGTAGTATATACTGGCCGTGGCAGTATATGTATATTCCACAGTGATGGCAACAACAACGGCAACAGACAACAGTAACAGTGAAGGCTGAACATAACCGGAATCGTTTTTCAAGCTAAACGAAATAGCAACGATAATCGGGATGATTATTGTAAACACGTCTGGACGTAACAGTAGCCATCATCAACGTCATCACCATCGAAATGAGTATCATCGTTGTCATAATCATAGGCATTGTCATAGCAACAAGAATAATGCCCATCGCAGCAATAATGAACATGTTCCAGGTGTTGCTGTACAAGTACTTAAACATGAGAGTACGGGTGACAGTAACAGTAACAGTAAACTTACTAGCAGTGCAGCCACTCTTAGCCGACATTGTGTTCCAGTTCAGATGACTAGGAGCCGTTCTGAAACATGGCCCCAAATGCTGCAATGCACAACATCTCAGGCTTTCGCTATTTTTTGATCCCTACTTTTTTTGATGCCTGCCTATCCCATCGAAATGTGGCGGTGCTCTTGAACCTGCTGCCTCTGCGCGCAGCGCCGTCCGCGGCTGGGCCGAAGAGGATGCGATGGCTGTGCCGACGAAGCTGAATGGCGTGCACCACGCCAGCGCACAGGCCGCTGCCAGGAAGAGGACCTTAGAGGGAAGCGGCGAAGCGTCAGGAGAGCTGGAAGGAGACTCCAAGCTGCCCTGAAAGTTGCAACTGCAACGACTCACGGTTCGCACTCCTTCTGGCCAGGCGGCAGACAAGGCACGAGCCATGGTTCGGACAGCAGGTCTTGGGCCAACGACACTTCGCCATCACCGCTTTGAAAGTCTTCTCTCTCCTCCCCAGCGTTTCACTGGAAGCTCAGCACAATGTCTTTTCAGACATCGACGCACTGTTACAAGAGCAGATCTATCAACCTGGCAACAGAACGTGACTTTGCCAGGCTTCGCTCTTTCCTGGGCTCATCACCTTCCAAAGATCCGTGTGTCATTCGACTTTTTCCGTTGAGTTGCATGCGGACGTGTAGTGCCCCTGCTGTACATGGCCCATCCTGATGATCCATCAGTCAATTGAAAGTGGAGGGGGCGACCAACAAAAGAGCGACTGGACAGCAGAGCTTGGCTTCTCCGCCCTATTCTAGCTGCATCACGCATAATTGCGCAAGCGTGAGGTTTGACCCACCCCTGGATTCATGCAGTTTGTGGGATCAATCTTACACCATCTCTCTTGAGTGTCTTGCGGCGCGGCATACTCAGTGCCATGTCCATGTTCTGCTGGGAGCTTGCCACCGCTACCTGACCAAACCGCACATGCTGACTTGCATGATCTGCATGCACTGTATTGCCTCTAATGTACTTCAGCCATGGTTCTGTCAATAAACTTTTTGATCTTCTGTTTCACTGCCTGAGCGACCAAAAAGGAAATTGAAGCTGGTAGCATGCTGCAACGACCAAAGGAAACACTGAGCTCCACACCTCTGCATCCACGTCATTCCGCAGAACCAGGCTCTCGTGGAATACATTACATCCGAAATGAGAGCAAAGGCAGCGCATTTCTATCCCCCAATCTTCTGGCAATTCCAGGATCTTGTCGAAGTTCCTGGGAAGACGATAGATTGGAACGCACTTTTAAGAAAGCTAAGATTTGTGAAAATTGACTTGAGTTGTTGTTATTGATTCTTCAAAAAGTGGTGTATCTGCTCGTAAGGCTGGAAGGCCCGACTGGGGCTTTCGGTGGTTCCCAGTTCTTATAGCACAAACACAAAGGCAGGAGGCAAACACCCAACTCCCCCGCACATCGACGCGTACTGGTAGTCTCACTCAAGTCTTGTTTGTGTTCATCTCCCTCGATCTCTCGCTTCATCATGATCAACATTTGCGCCAAAATCACAAATTCCCAACCATCATAGCGACACTGAAAATGACGGCGGCGACGAGGACGACGGTGAACAAGTGAAGTGGGGACGTGCAGGATGCCAGGTCTTAGCCGTCCGTGTGCGTGCGCATACGGACGAACGTGCCAACAACTGCCCAGCCCTGGCTGAAACCATAGTATCTTTCAACCATTTTCAACTCGTATCTACAATAGCTCTTTCTCTGTCTCTCTACAATAGCTAGTTTGTCAAACGGAAAACCAATGGAAATTCAAGCAGAAAACGACTGTGTTGTTGTGATTTCCTGTGCCAGAAAACGCTTGTGGCAGCACGGGGAAATGTGTTGAATGTTGAAGCCCGACCTGAGTTGTGTGATTTTTCTTATGGGAAGAAGATGATGATGATTCAAAACAGCGCTCGTAGAAGTGCAAGACCGAAATGCTAGCAAAACTGCGCCGAGAAATCTTTTGGCTGTCCCTGGGTGTCTTCGGCTTTATCTGCCCTCTTCTTGCAAAAGTCTGAAAATCTTGTTGAACCAACGAAACTCAAAGTTTCACTTTAATAGCCCGCTAAAGCAATCACCAAGCTGCAATATTCAGTGTCGAAGTTTTTCGAGATTCAGCCATGCTCTTGGAATCACCCTGCGTGCCATCTCATGCTATATATATATATATATATATGTATGTATGTATATATACATATATATATATATGTATATATAACTACACTATCTATATGTATATATATATATATACATGTACATATATATATATATATATACTTATATATATATATACATATACATTGCCGTTGTTTGTCTCAGGCGGATTCAGAAGGACCCGCAAATGGTTAACCATTAAATTTCCGCTCTTCTTGGTCACATGGTGCCTCTTCGGCCCTCTTGCCGCAGAGGGGGTCAATCAAAGACAAGGGCAGGAGCGGGTTAAGAGTAAGAGGCGGGGCGGGAAAGAAGAGAAGGGGGCTAGAAAAAAGGCTTGGCACCTACCGGGGTAGTGTCACCAAACAAGGACATCTGGGGGTCAACAAAAGAAGGAGGGGTTAGCAAAAAAAGGAAGGTTGAACAAAGATGGGCCCAGCATGGCCCAACAAATGCTGGCCGCGGTACTGGTGCTATTTAAGCGTCATATACACGAATCAATGTCTGCTTGGGCACTTGGGCATCGCATAGTCGATGATCAGACCTTGTCGACCGGTGCCAACTGCCATGGTTCGAATGGATGGCTGAACCGCGAAGCGGAACAGCATGACCCGCGACGACTCAAAAGCCTTGGCTTGGAAAAGGCAACTGGGATGAGCAACCTGCACGAGGAAATCTTTGATGCATAACAAACCCCTGCAACTCTCCAAGGCACATCGCGGCAAACATAGCTCTTGGCCTGGCCTGTCCCCAAGAGCTTCCGACTGCAGCGGGACTGAGGTGCTGCATGTTTCGAAACTCCCACCTTCAGGCAGTGTGTCGAGGAAGCTGTCCAGCAGTGCCTCCCAGCTCATGCTTGCGCAGACTTTGGCTGGCTGTCTGTGCTTCGCTGCTTCGCCTCTCAAACGCAAGGGCCTTGGATCTCTGGGCACTTGGGAGCCCAAAACGGGAAGCCGCGCCTCCAGGCGCTTCAGCTCACCACCGCCAAACCTGGAGACTCAGGACATGTCAGGGAGCAGCACAAGGAAACGGAAGATTCCTAGTCAAACATCCCTAAGGAAGGAGACGTCGTCTGCCGTTCATGGGGCTCTCTGGGCCGCTACGTCATTCGGGTTTCTGCTAAAGCAGGCACGGGGCTCTGTCATTTCCATGATGACATGATGGTCATAGTCTCGCCCCTGCTGCATCAGCTGCGTCGGCAAGGACTCGGGAAAGAGCGGATTAAGGTACCAAAGGACCTTGTCCTCAGCTTTGCGAGCTCTGTGCCCATGGCAGAACCGAGGTTTGAGTTCTGTGCTGGTCGAGCATCTGCCACAATGTTGACAAAGGGAATCGGCAATGCCTCGAATTTCAGCTTGAAGTTCCACAAGCCTGATAAGTTCATCATCCCAAGAAGCTCGATGAGCTTGATTAAGACACGTCCGCCGCGATCGCAACAGTCGAACTGGGCACGCCCCATATATTCGAACTGCTTCGGCAAGCAATCTGGGGAACTGAGGGCCACTTTCCTTTTGAGCAGGTTAGCAGTCGCGAAGTCTTTGCAGGAAATCCAAACGAACTTGCTTTGACGAGGCAGTGGGAAAGTGTCATGAACTGTCGCAAGAATGAGTACTTTGCCCTCGGATCGATTGCAATCTTCACCCGCCAGGTCTGAGCAATACCTCGAGGCTCTCTCATCGAAGGTGGTGACGTGGACTGGGTAGTTCGGCCACGAGGCTGCTAATTGACATGTTGGGTCAACGTCAGCCTCTGCAAGCTCTCCAGCACTGTCTAGGAACGGCACGATGTCCTGTCCCGGCGGAGTCTTCAGACCTAGCGTGTTGATCACCTCCACCTCACCCTGTTTCGTGACACGGCAGTACAGTGCCCGATCTGTGTAGGCTGGCCCCTTGTGGACCTGCGTACCGCCACTGCCGAAGGCGATGCCAGCTGCTACCGAAGGGTTCAGGAAGATGGAGCCCAGCACCGAGTGGGAGTCGCGATTCAACGGCTTCAGTGCTTCCTGAAGGCTAAAGATTCCAGCACCAGCAAAGCACAGCACGTGCTCTCCAGCACCGATCGGGAGGATCTTATGCAGTCGTCTCATGTTAATGACCACGAATGGCCTATCACATCCAGAGTCACGGGGTACGGACCCTCCCGTCAATCCAGTCTTTGCCCCTTGAGGGGTGATAGCAGTGTCTGCTGCAACGCAAGCACGGAGAACCTGGACTGCTTCATCGAGAGTCCCAGGTCTGACGACTGCCAAAGCAAGGCCTCTCCCCACCATAGTCCCCGTCTCCTCTGAATTTTCCACAACGTTGCTCTGACCAACCTTGCACAAAAGCATGGCTTCATCAAACGTGCATGAAAGACCACAACCTCAACAACATCGGTACTGTACGGTGCCAACCCCACTGTCCAATGTTGGTTGGCTTCTTCACCACAGGCAACCGCTGTGCTATCGAAGCCACTCTGTCATGATCCGAATTAACATGAACCAAACAAATGCGGGTGATGTCATGCAGACCAGCGACAATGTCGCGGAGTTTCTGGGCCAAAGACCGCTGAGCAGGGGTTAAAGCCTGTCGGCCCGGCATGCTTGCAGTGCTGTCGGAAGCGACAGGGCCTGAGAAGGACTTTCAGCTCCCCGCCTGGTCGCAACACGTGCGGAAGCCAGAGCCAGGCAATGCCCGCTCCCGCAGCCTGGCAGTCGCAAACACATGCCCATGCATTGCAACAAGAGTAGTCATTCACGATCTGCAGATTAACATCTGAGGGCTAAAGCAGGGCAATGCGAAAATCGCTGCAAAGCAAGCCGCAACCACTGCTCGGTGTCTAGAGGCCATTCGAATCTACTGCGCTGCCTCCAATTGTTAGCTGACTCCGGCCTGGAATCTGCAAAGGTCAGGGACAAGCCGATGCCAAATCCGAGCGCGCCGGCAGCTGCCACAGCCCCGGCACCATAACTCCTACACAGTACCGATCCCACCGGGTGGCTACGGATTTCTCTGGACCCCCTGACCGAGAAAATGAAGCACGTTTAGCTACAGCTCGGGCAACTCATTGTGGCGCTTCTTCTGTCCTCTCACCAGATGCAGCCGCCCTGGGCGCCCATCGGAGAAGATGAGCAACTCGTGATGGTCTCATGGCTCACACTTGAGGCGCTGCATCTAGCGACAGTAACGAAAACTTATGACTAGCTTGATGAGCACCTAATTCTTTCGTACTACTGACGATAGTGAACGATAGTGAAGCCGAGAAAGTTGCACGATGTTGCCCAATCTGTTATCTTTGGCTACATGGAAACCTTCCAGATTCCAACAGCCAAAGCAGAGAATCTGATCGTCGGCACAATGCTCCATCCTGCATCCCTCCATGTTCAATCAAAGGACAGATGTTCTCGCATCTTAGTCGCAGCTTGGCGCTTTATTCGATTCTCTGCATCAGAAAGTGTAGGTTGCCTGCCAGCTGAGACCAAGTAAGGAATCGGCACAAATGCGTCTGCTCAAGGATGTGAGGCGCGTCGTAATTCGAAGGGTGAGTACAGGTAGTGTGGGTGTCAAGCACGTTCGCATCGAGTTGACAAAGCATATTTATGGACTCGGAATTCGCTTTAAAACACGCATCTCCGGTCAATTCGCGAGCTTGCCTCCTCCAGTAATTCAATGCCTCGGCCTTGAGCCGTTGCAATACCGCCGGTGTCACCATGAATGCCCGGCAAGAGACCATCTTGGCGAGCAGCGCCTGCGTCTGAGTCTGCAGGTTGATTATCGCAAGGGAGACGAATGCACATCTAGTTGCATGCAGGCATACCTATCTCAAGCTCTCCCGGCACCTCATAGAAGATCTCATCCACGCCTTCTGCGACACTGATAAGCTCGTCCGCCTGATGCTGGCTTTGGTATCTTGGGATGCGGTCTTGGGATGCGGTCTTGGGAGCCCCCGGCCTGATAGAGGGAGGCCGCCCAAGACCCACTTGCAGAAAGGCCGCTGATCGAGAGAAGGTCCGGCTGCAGCGAGACCTCCACTGTGACTGCGCACATCGCTCGTCGTTGTCGCTCGCATGTGCACCTACCTTTCTCGCATGTCGCCAAACTGCCAAACAACCTTTCACATCAGCATACCACTATGGGCATCTCCAGCATGTTCAACCAATTCCACAAGCATTTATCATGTTTCGTTGCCGTGGCGCCTAATTTCAGTGGCCCTTCATCGCCCACCGGCCCAGAGAGAATTCCACATCGAATGAGGGATTTGTGCCCGGCTCAGTTTTGATTCGTCAAAAGCACATTATTCGCAAGCTTTGACTCCTATCATCCGACTCGGGCATTGCTCGAGATGTTTGAGAAGCCTGCATCGCTCGGAAAGTGCAAGCCCTCTGCCAATCATCGAGTTGCCAAACAGCAGCAGCTCAGGGCACCTGGAAGAGGTTTGAGAAGAAGCACGCCGCGTGCTCCCAGGAGGAAGGATTCTTCGCGAAGCCCTTGGTTTGTGTCGCAACAGAGCAGCCGCCCCTCTTCACAACCCTTGCAGGATGATGGACATGAACATGCGAGCACTTCCAACAGAGTCGCGAATGTCGCTCTTTCTGGCTCACACGACACTCAGTTCTAATCGTTAAAGGTTCTTGGTGCCGGTGCCGGTATGTTTGAAAGTTGGATGCTTGCAACTCTCAACGATGCCTGCAAGCGCCGTCAAGCTGTACAAAGGAACACAGGTCGTGGCTCTTGCAACGAACCTGCCATAACATGCTTCTACCGCCCAATCCCGGCAGCCAATGAAAGCTTGCTGTTCCGATGGATCTGCCTCTTTTGATTGGGTCTTTCCTGGGAGCCCTCTCTCACTGCTTCAATGTGTTCGGACGCTCGCTGTAGCCACCTTTGCCCTTCTCTGTGCCAAGTTGAGGAAGACGTGTAGAGCCCAACAGTGATGGGTAAGGCGACATCTTTGGTTCGTGGCTCCCTTCTGTCTCGAGGAGGGCCAATGCCTGCTGAAGCTTCTGCCGCTCTGCAGCGGACAGGTCGGACACAACACCAGCGACATCGGCGTCCGTTGCTGCCTGCACATGGGTAGTGGGTAGCTGGACAGAAGCCCCAGAGCCCATCTTCCTTAACGGCTTTGGAAAGTCTAGCACAACTTTGCCGCTTGAGCAAAATCACTGCATGTCAATGTCAGTGCATGCCAAGGTCAATAACTCACCAACGAATGTGATTAGTTGCAGCCGCCGTCACGTTCAGGACTGAATTGGCCATCGGCAAATTCCTGGGATAGCTACCAGTCTCAGGCGGATCCCTTGTCCTGTTTTTGAGTTTTTGCCCCTTGCAAACACGAGCGCAAAAGCTTCTGTTCCGGAAAGCGTCACAGTGACCCCGCTTACCAGTGCCAACGCCCGCTGCCAGATCCTGAGGCGAATGATATGCTCAGCATGACCCGTGCAACTTCAGGCAAGCGACACGTAGCTGGAATTTACTGCAGCCAACGTGCCCTGTGCGACCGCAGGAATCTGCAGCAGCGCCCAGCATCACCTCAAAGCAGACTGACGTAGATTGGCCCTTTGCTGAACCGGCAAGAGGGCTTTTCAGAATCCGCAGGAAGCAAACAGGATTCCTCTTGTCCTGTGCCTTTGGGTCGCTTCGTGCTTCTTGCTCAAGGTCCCTTGTGAACAAGCAGGGCCTGCTAGCCCGCATTCCAACCCCATCATCACCCACAAAGCTGCGGACTCTCAGATTAGTGTCCTTCGAATCGAAGTCTTGCAGCTGTATGACACTATTGTGCGAGCACTTCGCCTGGCTCTTGCCATTCACTGGTGTCATGCCGGAACGTGTCTACGATCTTTGTGCCGGCCTCTTGGCCGGTTGAGTTGTTTGATCACCTTCCTGTTCGATTGCATCTTGCACCGACATGACTTCCCGTAGCCTCCCTCGAGCTGAACGTGGCGTGAAAAGCCTATGTTGCAACCCGCCTTGTCGAGATCAAGCCCCAGCGCCAGGGATTCTTGGAGTGTGTGGCATGCCATGCGCCACCTGCACAGATCGGGACAGCCACAGAACCTTCGACATAGCTCCAGAGGATTCCAGAGGTCTGGCCTTTCAGCCTTGGCTTGGCCGCTCAAGATCGCAGTGGCCAGGACAGCATCGGTCTCCACAACCTGCAATCTCAGACAGTGGCAGGCTTCTTTCTGATGCGACCCTCGCCACACCGTTCGTGGTTGCTTGAGTGGCTTCTTGAGATGGGCAATGCAGAGCAGGCACATCTCGTGACTCTATCGTCGTGTGCCTGCTCGCGCATCATGGCAAGGAGCCCAGAAGTTAGAGGACTCTGCTCCACATGCTCAGAACCTCGGGCTGAGAGAACAGGAAGTTGCTGCGAGAAGGCCAGGTTTCACACAGCATTCTCTGTTCACGAGGCCGCCCTGTGTCTTTGCTGGGCAACACGGCAGCGAGTCCACAACAGCTGCGAATGAAACACAGTCCTCAGTCCCACATTCCTGTGCTGTCTCTTACTTCAGCTCGCAAAGTTCACTTGCGTGCGCAATGAGTCTAATGCAGTCGGCAGTATGCAGAAGAGGCTCAGCCGCGATTCGCTGCAGCTCCATGCACTGTAAGCAAGCCTTTGCTGCCCTAGGCACCCTACAGTTGCTGAGTTCACTGTTCCAGAACGGTGTGACTCTGGAACGGACTAACTGATTGTGCGCTGAGGCGAGAAACAACTTGACAAAAGCGATTCCGGTTTGCCCCACTGAGCATTCTGGGCAGCAGCCGACAATCCGAGACACATGGGGGTCAGATGCGGAACTGGTGCTTCTCTCGCTCTGACATGTCGAGCCTCTTCTAGCCCTCGCATGTTCTCTGGAAAGCTTCATGCAGGAGTGCAAGGGCAGCAGGCTTCGCGCAAGCAAGCCAGGACAAGAAGCTATGCCCATCTCCCATTGCCGCATCCGAGAGCAGGCGCTTATGACCGAGTTCCAGCTGATGGTGTCAACCTCCACCTGCAAGCTGCTCCTTGGTTCCACCCTCGCCGCCCAAAGCAGGATGTAGACTCACGTCTCAGGCAGCACCGGCGGAGCTGCAAAATTATTGTTCCCTACCAAGATAAGATGGACATGAACGAAATTGAACGAAGATCTGTCCACGCCCAAGCTTCGCCATGCTCAGCAGAGCCAGGGATAGCTGCCACTTGCCAGAGCGAGCACAGGCGCTGAGAGTCGAGTTTAGGGAGGGAGACGTCGGTCTCAAACCTTCCCGGGAAGACTGCCAAAGAAGCAGCACGGCCTCGGATCCATGCCGCACCGAGCTTGGAAGGATTCCTGACTCCTGGGTTTCAATAGGTTTCACTGATGGCCAGCCTACAGTACGGAAACAGGTGACCATGGGCTTGGCCTCTCCGAACTTGCAGGCAACTGCCATGTCTGCTGCTTGGCTCTCGCCCTTTCAGAAATCATCACGATGCAGCGAACAACAATTGATGGAAGCCCCAGGAGCATGCTGCCACTGGCTCGACCGCTCCATGGCCGCTATTGCCTTGGGAAGTCTTGTTGCCGATTGTTGCCTCATGGCGATCATCTATGATCATCTCATGTTTGCCTCATGCTCTCATAGTCATAGATTTTTTTCCTCGGGATCATTGTCACCACACCAGCAGCCACGACAGCAGCCAGGGCGCCGCATTGAATGTCACAATGTTGACCTCCTGTCCCTCAAGTAGATGTGGTCCATCTTGAATCAAAGACAATGCCTGGCAACAGCTTTTTCTTAGCCTCACAAAAGCCAAAGCCAGCATCGGCCGAACCTTCTGCCACTGCGATCCTCTTTCTGCAGCTGCTACCAGGGTACCTCCGGTTCAGCTGGGGCCTCTTGGCCGGCCTTCTCTCAGAGATCGAACCCGAGCCTGATGTCCTCGAGGATGCGAATAAGCGTCGATGCCTCAGATATCATGGCTTCACTTGTCGGTAAGCGGCTTACTGCTCACCCTCAGTTCAACAAGCCTTCCAGTCTCGCCGAGCCTCGGAATGGCCTCAATTATGGCAATCGAACTTTCCCAGCGCGACCCTTTGCTGCAGGCATCTGCTGCAGAGTTGAAGCCTTGCGCGTAGGTCTGCAAAGCAAAAGGGCGCGAGATGCTTGAATCTAGACGGAAGACACAGACCTAGGCCTTAGGTCGACACTTATTGTCGTAGGCTTGCGATCATCTCCTGCCGTAGGCCCTGGCACACATGTAAACAGCAAGCGTGCCAGATGTTGACGAGGATACAAGTGTGCAAAACATGTTCCTTCGCACCTGTGATCTGCAGGGCACCCTGCCACCGTGCACACTTTGCACCCGCACCCAGGGCTGCATTCTGCAAAGCCACATCCACAACTTGGTCCACAAATGCATGGCGATCTTGCAACTCTTGACGAGAGCAGGAAAATTCATGGACATGCAATCACAGTTGTCGCCCAAGGGGCTGATGTTCGATTGCGCCGCTTGAGCCAGTAAACCCACTGCATCCTCGCAGCATCTCAATCATGTATACAACTCCGAAGCCGTGCACGCAGCCACTGGCATGGCCCCTTCGCTATCTGCAGCTGTCACCTTCGCTTACCACGTTCCTTCCAAAGATGGCCACGGTTGCAGGTTGCTGCGGCGGCACTCAGCACAAAGGCATCGAGCTCGAGCTCCAGACCTGAAGAGAGGGCAAAAATTTTTAATGGCCACAGCGAGACTTGCCACTGTCCGGCCTCGGTAGCGGATCCAGGCGGCCCAGGCATGCTGCCAAAGGCTCCGGCGATTCGCTGCCGAGATGCTGGCTGTGAGCTGGCGAAGCCCTGCGAGGGAAGCACACGAAGGGCACAATGCACATCTTGAGCAGATCCCAGCTGACCTGCAAATAGTTGCATCCATGGCCCACTCTCGGAGGGAAGCGGGTGGACGCGAAGTTATCCGACCGTGCAGGTGCACTCTGGACTCTGGAGTCCGAAAAGTAATTTAACCTGTAATGTCCAAGTTTGCTCACAAGCTCCGACGACTTGGGCCAAGCAAATTTGAGCTGCTTGCATTTGGAGGCCAATGGGTGGGCAACTTCTGAACTTCGGCCAAAGTTGAGAACATTTTCTCGGTGTCTCTGCTCGAACATTGTGATTCTGGGCAGGCTCACCTGACGCTGAGCTTCCGCGACCTGGCAGGAACCCGCGGCACGACATCTCCCAATCTGTTGGCATCCGTGACGACCGAAGGACCACAGCTCAACGAGGACCCTTCTGCTGCCTCTTCGCGCAAGGCATGGTAAGCTGTACAAAGTGCGGTGCGGACATATCGTACGGATTGCGGTCCAACTCCCAGCTTGAACGCGCCAAAAAAAAACATGAACACATGTTTGCAAACACGGAGAGAGAGAGAGAGAGAGAGAGAGAGAGAGAGTTCTAAACCTGCCTGCGTACATACGTACATAGAACCCTGTCTATAATCTCAGAAAATGGAGCTGGTACAAGATGAACTCCACCATTCTCCAATTCCTCTGCGACCTTATGACCTTGAAGCCGAGGAAATCCTAAATTGGATTGTTGATCCACAGTTCTCCACCTCCTCTATGACTTTATCACTTTCAAGCACAGCACGTCTTGTATCAGATTATTGGCCGCTGGTGTGCCTTGTTTAACAAAACAACAAACAAGCACTGAGCTTGACTAATGAAGTGCCAGTTTGCGTTTCACTTAAATATTTAAGCCAGAAGCATGCCCAAGAACACAACCTAGAATGACGGTGTAGAACTTGGCTGTGGGGAAAAAGTGAATTTCAACAACTGAGAAGTTTGCGCTTGACCTAGCTTTTGCTCATTTATGTCAGATTCCTACACCAGCAGCCGACCATTAGACATCCTGCGTCTAGTCGTAAGCTAGCAAAACGCAGGGGTCGTTTTCCGACCTCCAACGTGCGTGTGTGTGTGTGTGTATGTATGTATATATATATATATGTGTGTGTGTGTGTGTTATATATTCTCTCTGCTAGACATACGCAGGTACGTACATGCATGCATGCATACATGTACGTATGCTTACATCCATGCATGTATACATTATGCCGCGAGCTGGGAAAGTTGGGCTGGCAAGCCTAATCATCCGAGAAGTGCAGGTATGGAATCAAACAATTGCGACTTGACTAAATCTGAAGATGATGCTCAGGGAGCACCCCTTCAGCTTGATACTGTTGCCACTGGGCTGCCGAGCTCTGCTCGGGCGAAGCCCAGTGACACGTGCAAGCATAAGCTTGCTGCCACTTGCTACCACTACCAATACTTGTGTACCGGTCACTGTCACTGCCTAGGGCTCCAACAGCGAAGTCTGGGCAGCCTGACTATTGATCCACGCACATGAAATAACTATGTTGACGGAGGAGCCTAGAGGCCAATACACAAGACTGCTGCTCCTTCGCTTTGGTATAGCCCCCAGCTTGCCGGAGTCTTCTTGCCATGCGCACCCACGAGCTCATCGACGGAACAGCCAGGGATAGCCAGGGCCATCCGAATACACACACACACACAAACAAGCAGGAACAAGCAGCAAGCAAGCGCTGCAGAAACGAAATTCCTTGAAACACATGGCCGCTCTACAATGCGATGATGCACGGGGATTGACGAACTCGCCTCGTTCGGCCACTGCGGAGTGGCTGGACCACATCATGCGGACAAAGCGGCACTGTAGCTGCAGAGCGCATCAGCCGAGAAACTGCGCTTCCAGAAGCATTGTACAAGCGGCGTACTGTGCGAAAAGAAAGCCTCGCCGACGAGTGTTCTGGAACCTCATGAACGAGGGAAGGAAAGTCCACGACACTGGTCATTGGCTGTACCTCGGAGGCCAAACAGCACGCGATATCCTTGCGCTCTTTCCAAGTCGGTTGTCCTGCGACGTCCTGCTTGCATATTGGACACAGGTGGTTCCGGGCCAGCCATTTATCCACACAGTCTTTGTGAAAAGTGTGAAAGCAGCGCAAGACCCGCACCAAGTCGCCATCTCGGAAGTCCTCTAAACAAACAGCACACGTCTCCTCCTGGGGTCCCTTGTCGGGCCCGGGGCCTTTTTCGCCGGGATGGGTCACGTGGATGTGGCACAGCGTGTGCTTGGAAATCTCCAGCTCCGAACATCCCTCCACTGACGCCTCCACATCCGAATCCTCCTCATCGGAAGACGGCAAAGGTACTTCCGGATGAAAAACGTGAATGTCGGACCTTAGCAGGCCAAAATTACTTGTCCAGTACCCGAGGGGATCTACAGGTTAACTGTTGAGATTATGCAGGGATTGTTATAGTATATACCCCCAAACAGGTTAAAGGTTACCTGCTCTCCTACTAGGCAAATCGCAACCCGCTAGCAATTTGAACTCGCAACCCCAAATCGTTGTCTCTTTGCTCTTGAAGAACAACTCAACCCGCATTTGGGTTTTGATAGTGTTTGTGCGTGTCCAAATCGCTGTGTAAGTTGTCTGATGTACGGGCCCCAATGTAAGGGCCCAACATGGCCCCACGCTCCCAAGGCCATAGGGCGGGACCACATGCGTCTCGAATTCCTGCCCACATGTGAGGCTTTTGAAGGAGGGGGGTTGTGCGTGTCCAAATCGCTGAGTAAGTTGTCTGATGTAAGGGCCCAACATTGCCCCATGCCGAAATGCATTCGTGAGGCTTGTGGCACGGCTTCCCAAGCACTGCTTTGGAAGATTGACGGGAACTCCCCTGCATTTAGTCATCTTCTCCAAATGGACTCGGCGTTTCCTGCTCGTTCATCGTTGCCAGGAAATGGTTCTGGTCCAGCACTCCCCGCAGAGACCGGAAGTGCGTCTTGCCCACGAAAAACTCAAAGAAGCCCCGTGCAGTAGGCGGTCTGCAAAAAGGCATAAGGGTTGGCTTGTCCTGCACACGACCTTGCAATGCCTTGCACAGCCGCTCCTGGCTTCGAATGGGCAGTAACCCCCATGCATTTAGGCGGCCTCGAAGAATGTATTCGGTGCTCCCCGCCCCACCCAAGCCCCGCCGCGAAGAAGTCCCTATTATGTGTCCGCAAGGCCAGAACCATGCAGCCAAATTTTGTCCACATTCCAGCGACCACGCCCGGAGCAGAACGCTTTTAAATCCCGGCGAAATCGCCAGTGACCTGTCCTAGCAAGAGGAAGACTCGATGGAGCCAGGGCCGCAGTGACACCACTGCATGCTGATTGCCGGGAACGCCTGTGCATGTAACTAGGTGTTTTGTCAAAAATGCGCTGAGCGGTTCCTGACTGCCTGTGTATGCCCCGCCAAAAAACTGTGTAAGCCTGTGCATTTAGGCAGCCTATAAACATGCATGGTGGCTTGGGGAACAAGAGGCTGTGCCTTTCCAGGGTCAATCTTGCTTTTCCTTACAGCTTCAACATGCACTGCACTGTTCTTCTGACATGTGTTGGCCATTGTCCATGTGCTCCAGCTGTGTTGTGAGTGAACTCTTGCATTTTGCTGCCGGCCCAAAATGCAGGGCAACAGTCTTGCATGCATCGCTTTCAATTTCACGGTACGCTTGAGGCCACATGATAAGGATGCCCGAATCGCAGGGATTTGGGGCCTGCGATTTCAGATCGGAATCGCAGCCGAGTTGAAATCGCTGCGATTTGCCCTTCTAAGTGTCGGACGCATCCGGGTCCATCCTGAGTCGCCTGGGCAACGCAAAGGGTGCGATGCCATCCATTGCCGCGGATACACCGTCTTCCCTGCTGAGCTACGCAGGCGACTGGATGATGCCGATGTCTCACATAGAATGTAGATGTTGCATGTGTGTCCGGTCATCGTGACTACAATGACTTCACGCGCCCTGTCGTCTCGAAGGTGAAATGCCAGGAACGGTGGCTGCATCGTGGCAAGGCTCTGAGTGTGTTCTGATGGACCCTGCCGCTTGCTCAGGACTGACTGGTGACTAGTTACGAGCAGCTTGCCTGGATCCGCGAAGTGTCGACCTGGGTCGGAGATACGATGCGGCACGTGGTTGAACCCGGAAAAAGTGCTAACTGTCAACACTCTAAGAGTCCGAAGTCAACAAAAGTGAGTCCGGCAACCTTACAACCACTTCTGGTCGCAACTGGTCGGAACCTAGTGCATGCGAGTGTGTATTATCTGAAAACTGGCATTCGACGTACCAGAAGAGACCTCACGCCCTATACTATGTTACATTACTTATGCACGGTATGCACGCGGTTGGAAGCATCGAGGTTGCAGTGATCTGTTCTTTATATGCGACGTCCGGGTAGAGCAGACCATTGAAGCAAGCCACTTCCAATTTGGTTCGAATTTCGACCGAAGAGGTTTGTCCGACGGAGGTAAAACACACCTGCCCTTTGAGCATTCACTTTCTTTCCCGTCGACGCACGAGTCCCTGCAATCCAAGAGGTGCAGTTGATCTCGGCCGCTGCATAGGTGAAAGATCACCCTATTGCTTGTTGAGCGGAATTGGCTAGTCAGCACTGCTGGAACTTGAGCTCGAATAACTGGAGCTGGAACCGTCTGTGTCGCTGGAGGCACTGCTTGGGCTCGAAGGCGAAGGCGCAAGCGCAGCCTGGGCTCTGGCTAGGCTGCCAGATCTGCCAGGCTGGCCTCCCAGGCGCCAGCCACCAGCGACTGTGCCTACCGAAACCCGACCAAACCGACTTTCCTGGCATCTTGCCCGGCTGTCAGTGCTGGGAGCACTGTAGGCAGTTCCGTGCAGCACTTGAGAGACACGGTCGTGGTGCAGGCGCTGGAGAACAGAGGCGGTGCTCGCATACAGGGCAGACAGTGCAGAGCGCCCTGATTCAAACCGAAGCACAGGCTGCACAAGACGCGGCCGTGTTGAGTGCGCAGACTGTGCAGGCAGCGGCCGTCGGTGCTGTGCTGGTGCCGACACTTCCGCTGCAGATCGCCTCAAGGGGGGGGTTGGGGGGCGGGGGTGTCCTGCTTCGTCTGCAACGAAATCACTGCTGGTGAAGTCTGAGTCCGAGGAGGCCGCAGCTTCAGTTGCCAGTGCCCAGGGAGAGCCTGTGATGTCCTGCTTGCAAATGGGGCAGAGCCGGCTGCCCTCCAGCCATTTGTCCACGCAGCTTTGGTGGAAGGTGTGAAAGCAGCGCAAAGACCGCATGCAATCGCCGTCTTTGAAGTTCTCCAAGCAAATCACACATCGACCGTGACGGTCTGCTGGCCCCACACGATCAGCCCGGCTGCAGAAAGTGTGACACACTGTATTCGCAGCCACCACACATTTGGGATAGCTCCCGGTCCACGACTGTTGGAAGAAAAGGTCTTCGTCGTAGGGCATAAGCGCAGGCTCGAATTCGTACTCGTTCCCGAAAACGTACCTGTCGTATTCGTCGGGGTCTGGCACCGGTAATGCTCTCATACCTGGACCTAATCTCCTGGGCAGCATGGCAACATGCGAAGACATCAAGTGCCTCAACAGGTACAAGATCAGTGTCAAGAGAAGACTGCGAAGAGAAGCTCTGTTGGTTGTTTTTCAGTTGCGCTTGCTGGATGCCCTTACATAGTCTGCAAGCTGCTCGGCCTGCAATGCATGTGGTGCCGATATGTTCGGTGACTGAGGGAATCGTGTCACTGGGCTGCGCAGGCTGCATCAGACAAGCCTCATGTGCATATGGACTTGCATCGATCTTAGACCTTCTTTCCGACAATCCTCAAGGTGTCGCTAGACAGGGCGGGATATGAAAGCTTTGTGACACGGCTGGAGAACACAGCCCACAGGAGTGTCATGCTATGAGTTAGCTTGACCTTTGTATGTGAGCTGGCGTGCTGCCAGGTGCCACAACAAGTAATCAGAACCTTATCTGAATCCATCGTCAAGTTGCATGTGCCGTCCTTTTCGCTGTCTTCACTGGACACCCTGAAACCCATTGTGAGAACATTCTGCTGCTGATGGACTTGGAGCAAAGACTGAAACTGAACTGGCGACGGCCTTTCTTGACCAACTAGGGCATCTTGTCGCATCAGCAACTGAGGTCGCTCAAAAGAGGCTTGCTGTTCGGGGCAACGACAGGCTCTGAGCCAAGACGATGCGAAGATCAGAGTTCGGCCATCACAGAAGATCAATCATGCGTGCAAGGCCAGAGAAGGAACTGGCAAGCCTCAAGTTCAGCTGGCCATGAGTACTTATAACTGTACAAAGAGATCCCAGGCGCCGCTCAGCACTGGTGCTAAGGGCCGGCTCCGTGTCTATGTGCAAAGGGTCGCTGAGCCCAAGTAATGCTCCTCAGCTCCTATCCGGCAGCGGCCAGCTGGCTCGCGCCAGCAGCCTCCTGAAAAGCTCTGGGTCGAGATGTTGTCTTACTATTGTTTCCATCATCACCGTCGAACTCTGGACGACTATGGATTCGATTGCCGATGCCAGTCATGAGTTTGCAATATCGTCTATGCATCGTAAAACTACGAACTCGAGCTACAGCCCTGTGAATTTCAGCTGTCGTACTGAGCTCAAGTCACGATCATAAGTATGCTTGTGTATAGCTACCCGCGGCTCGCACTGTGTGACTGATTCTGACCTTGCGGAGGCTTTGCAGCAGCGTCTCGTTGAGGCCACTGCCGAATGGCCTGGGCGCCTCGGTAGCGAAATCCGACGCAGGAAGGCAGCGAATCTTCTTCAGTAGAAACATGTCTGTAGAAACCTATCTGACCCAACACTAATGCAGTCACTGAGTGCGGTACACTATCTCCTTGCGGCTTCGACTAAGGATTCAGACACGGGCTTGAGTCTTGAAAGTATGAACTTGAAGTTCAACTGAAAACACACTGAGAATCATTGACAGCCTCGACTGTCCAACCGGGCAACAAGGAAAAACGCTGCACGCTGCAGGATGTTCCCGGCCTTGGCTGCAAATGGCTGCGAGGGTCTCGCTGGAAGCTCATGTGGCACCACACAGAATGCCTTGCGATTCGGCCAGCGATGGATTCAGCTAAGTTGCGATAGCACTGGAATCGCCGAGAAGCAGCCTCCGAGCATCAGTGAAAGGCTGTGCCCTGCTCTGAGGTCTTAGCTGCCACTCTTGGCCTGAAAGCGCCCAGCGAATCCTCTGCTGCTGCTCCGGTGAGCAGGTTGCCTGGATGCGGCTGCAGGAAGCAATGCAGCAAGCATCGTGAAGCGTGTTGATATGTCAAGGTCTCAACTGAAGCCACACAGACGAGACACGCTCAAAAGCCAGCTCTGCGTAAGCGAGGAAAACCTGGCAGGTCGCTAGGGCTGCAAGAAAGCCAGTCGCAAAACCTGGCAAGACTGCAGCCGGGCAGCTGCAAAGGGAGCACCTTAGAAAGTCACACACGTGAGCATCTGCCTGGTCCTCTCTCCAAGGCAGTGAACTTTTGATACCCTCGGTGGCCCTGAAGTGGCCTGCGAAAGCCATGACACAATTGATGCGCCCTCTGTCCCCCCGCGCATCATATTTCTCCCAGGCACAGACTCCTTCGATAAGGAAGAAATCCCAAAGTCTGCAGATGCTCTCCTCGATGCCAAGAAGAAGGTGACTAACACAAGTGCGACACCAAACACGATATACACGATCTCTGCTTGCACTACCTGCATCAATTCCTTTTGAGATCACTCTCGGCAGTCCCCGCATGTCTTGGCTCAGGCTCGACGGGCTTGAGCTCCCGCGAGAACAAGGTCAGCAGCGGCTCTGTGGCGATCCAAATGAGAGGCAGATCCACCTGCGACGTACAAGCCTATCTGTTCAAAGGACATGGTGTCCGAATAGGTCCAAGTACGGAGCTTAGCATGACTTGAGTCATCATGTTCAAAAAACGGTTCTGGGCGCGACCATCAGTGGCAACATCTTCCTGCTGCCGTCTTCAATAGGGTGCTGATTGGGAGTTGCCACGAACCAGAAGGCGTAACATTAATTATCACGCTGCCTCCGCAAAACGCGCGTGGATTTTCGGCAGCAAGTGAAGCCTCTTGCAACATCTCGTGGAGCATGCTCAGGACAAGCTTGCAGCTCCGAGGATGCACCAGTAGTTGCAGGAAATTGCAAGAATCTAGATACAGTTCGGGTCAAGCCTGCTCCCCGCAATGGCCGCGAGGGGTTCACAAGACACTCAGCCCGGTGCAATAGTGCGTCAAGAACTGCTATGTCTCGTAGGAGGCCACTCATCGACTCCTCGTAGTATCCTGTTTGTGCCGCTGTTTCTTTGAGGCTGAAGAGATGAGGCAGACAGACCTCTTGAAGGCTGACAGTGCAGTGTGCTGCCAAGGGTCCACTGCAGAACGCATCCTGAGCAACTGAAGAGCGTCCAGAGTTTCGAACACACATGCACACACACACACAGACGCAGAGACGCTGACACAGACAGAGACGGCTAAGCTGCCAAGAGCATCTAGCCAGAAGGAACTACTGCTGCGATGTGACATATTCGATTGCACCTGTTGCAGAATTCGCCTCGTTCTCTGGTCATGTCGAAGGCCCGTATGCGGCCTGCGCACCCTCTCGGGTTGTTGTATAACAAGCAGACTCAATGGTGCACCAGCAAGCCTGCCCACGATGCATCGTTCTCCTCGCGCGACATTGACACCTGGTCCGGCAGTTGTCCTGCCCCTTCCCTGCCATCCATTCGTTTACTCGGCCGCCGAGTCTGATTTTGCGCCAGTGTCACGGGCACCGTGAACCCTCCCATTCTTCGTGAGGACCAACATATCTCGATGTGTAAGACTAGAGAACGGTGTAATGAAGGCTCAACCCCCTGCGGTGAACAAGAGACAGAGGTTCCTTAGCCAGACTCTTTCTGGGTGCGAGAATCCGTGAGCCCACGAAGGCCACCCAGCGCTTGCTTCTCTGTGAACCCCACAAGCAGTTCGACCGCGGCCACGAAGTTAAGACCTGCAGATCGCGGCAAGGCACTTGCAGACACCGGAATTTCGACCGGAATGCTCGAGGAACAGCTAGTCAAGAGAGAAAACAGTGTGCCTACTTCGTGCCTGAAACATTACGCAGTCCACATCACCTTGTTTGCACTACCTTGAGCTCCTCTTCCTCTTATTCGTGCTCCTGGGGCTCCCTACCGTCCGTGTTTCTGATAGTCTTTGGAAGCTTTGCATGCCGCAGGCTGCGGAAATTTCCGATGGAATGAGGGGGTGCTCAGTAAACTGAGGCTAGCAGCAAACACACTTGCATCAAAAATCATCCGGAGATCCAGTCTGTATGCTCCATGAAGAACCACGGTGACATCTGGCATCTCACACGACTCCAAAGTGCGTACTGCTGCGAGCTGAGCTTCGGCGGATGCTGATGTGAGACCACTGCTGGTAGGAATGGGCTTGTCCCAGCACAGTGTATTGCAGCAGAGAGGCCTTGACAGTATCCCACCTGCAAAGCCGGAGCCAAGACAGAAAGAGAGTTGAAAGATGTTGAGAGCCTCCCGACATACGGCACTTCAGCCTTGAAGTAAAGAGCCGATTCACACTTAGGGCCAACGCTATTGCTTTGTGTCGCTTGTTACTGTTAAGTTGCTACAACGGGAAACTCCTCTGTCTCGAGGCCTGTGGCCGGAGCAGTGCAAAGGCGCGCAATACGCCTCATGCAAGCAGATGTGTCCACACTTGCAATTTAACTACTTTCTAGATTTTAGACTTTCTAGACCCCGCCCACGTAAGGAGGATTCGCTGATGGTGCATGGTGCAACCAAGCTTTCCTTCGTTGACTGCTGCCATGTCTCGGCGCGAGCACTCCGACTGTCCGAGCGAGCATCTGTCCAAAGATCTTCTGGGTGAGGGGGATTCATCGGCGACACAAACGAAATGCGACTATTACCCGATGTAACACCCCCGCTTCAGAGAACATCATCAACGACTTCCGCTGTCATGGCAGCTTCTTTCCGTAAACGCCAGATATCTGGGCTGACATGAGGTGCTGCGGTTCCGCATGCAAGGCTGGGCACTGAAGGAAACACTGTCATCCGTGCACGGTGGCGAAGCATGGTGAAACTTGACAGGTTGCCAACTCTTTGAAAGAGAGGATAATTACTTGACAACTCGATGAACTCAATCAGGTACTTCTTCTGTCTTTTGCGATCCCCTCTTCTCTGCAGTCTACTGGCACTCTGGCACCAACGTCTCACTGACACACTCATGATGAAGAAACAAGCATGCCAGCAAACGGACAAGCGAATCACACGCGCAAACTTGAGTTGTACTTTCGTCGTCGAGTCCGTGCAATCCTGTGTAATCTAGGTCGGCGCCGGCCAAAGCGTTTACATAATGTGGGCTTCACGCTGCGAAGGTGAAACTTCGTGTGTGGATACAGATGGACAGTCAATACCATGGAATGGCAAATGCACGATAGTGGTTCACAGCAGACACTAGCACTGCGCGAGACTCTCATGCCAGATTTCGTATGACATGAAGCGAATCCTGAAAGTACGAACCTGGCCGTAGCTGCTGCTGCCAGCGCATGCAAGCCATCTGTAACTTCAACCCTGTGGTACAGCGACCAGCCCAGGATGGCCCGTAAACAGGGATGATAGTCCACATGCAGCGAAAACTGTAGCTGCGTGTTATGTTGGGTATCACTGTCCAGGCACACGGAGGTCAAGCCACATGTACCACCAAGAATCTATGCCACCGGCATATTATAGGACTTTTCAACCGGATAACACGCACCGGGCTTTCACCACATGCACGCTTACTTGCTTACTTACTTACTTACTTACTTGCCGAACTTACTCGCTTGCTTACTTACTCGACTATGCATTGCAATCCTGCAGTCGCGAAGCCAAGTTGCCTGCTCGCTTGGAAAATCAAGGAAACTCTCGAGAGTTCAAGGGTTCCGGGGCCTGACTGGAAGCAAACTGAATTTGAGTCGTTAATCCTTCGCAGAGCCTGTATTTGGCAAGTGCGTCACCGAGCGTCCTCAGTGATATCCTCACCGCATAAAAACCGGCTTTGCTGGCAGGGGATCTCTATGTGTCAATCTGGCCCCTGCAAGAATTGCAATTGTTGCCCTTGTTTTTGTTATTATTTTTGTTGTTCCCGTCGCTGCTGTTGTTGTTGCTGCTGCTGCTGGCGTTGTTGTTGTTGTTGTTGGTGGTGTCGTTGTTGCTGCTGCTTGCTGCACAGCAGCAACGCGTCAACAACCGGAACAACAGAAGCACCACCGCTGCTGCTGCTGCTGCTGCTGCTGCTGCTGCTGCTGCTGCTGCGGTTGTGGTTGTGGTTAGTACTTGTGACTGCCGCGGTGATTGTGGATATGGCTGTGGCTGTAGTCGTTGATGTTGTTGCTGCTGTTCTTGTTGCTGATGACCCTTACAAGTAGGGAAGCTAAAGTTTTTCGACAAACACACACATGTATATATATATATAATCATATATATATATATATAACTGTGATAACTGTGCGAGATGCCTCGACTCCCCAACCGCCCTCGCCCTCGCCCTTGGGTTTGTCATGGCACGGAGCAAGAATGACACGACGGAGAGCTGCCGCTCTGGTCTTGCGACCGAGTGGCGACCAAGTGCCTCCCGCTGGTTCTGGTTCAGATCGGTGGGCCGTGTCCTGGAAAGAGCTCTGGAGTACGAACGACCCTGGTAGACAAATCAGGGTACGACACCATCCCACTTCAACCATATGAAAGCGGACTAATGGTTTCCTCACAGATCATGCTTGTGATTTGCGCGATGCAGCTATATCCAGACGCGTGCTTCCGAACCGATGCCGTAAAGAGAGACATGAACGGGCATGTTCGGCAATGATCTGCAGCGCAGCTCCCAGCCGAGCCAACTTTTTGGTCAAGCTGAAGAGGTCAAGTGAAGCTCTACTACGCGCGACGCTCCAGCGCTGGGAAAAGGCTTGCAGGAGTTCGCTGGATTGCCCAAATCGCCAACTCCACTCGCACAACGCTTCAACCAGAGCAAGCCCCAATCACCCCAACCCGCCATTCCCGGGATCTGGTTTCGTTGTCTCAACATGGGGTCTGGCCTCGGCACGTCCTTCTCGATCTGCTTTTGGCAAGTCTCGTCAGTGCAAAGCATGCCTGCCAAATATCCCGGCAACAGGCAGAACTCCCACCTTCTCCACATAGAGCGCGCCGTCATCCAGTGGCTCATTGCCCTCGTCCGCCACATGGAGCCAGGTGGGCCAGAGTGCTAGCCTCCAAGCTGCACGCAGGACGCAGCCAGCATGAAGTCAAGGAGTCCAGGCAGAACTCATGCTTCCGGCCTGTACTGCCAGGGTATTCGGTGCCCAAGTATGAAAAGAGCTCGCAGTTCGCTCCGTGTTAGCTCTGCAAGAGAACGATCACCCAGCACTTTCTGCCTCAGTTGAGCTAATCCAAGCCCAAAAACTCACATCCGAAGTTCCCAAAAGGCCACAACCGGCGCCAGTCTTCAGTGAATGCGTGCCAATGCGTGCAGAGCTGCCATCTGGCAGAGAGCTCTGCCTCGCCGTCTAAGCGGTCCCCGCCATTCAGGGGCAAAGGCGCATCCCAGCCTCCAACAGCTAAAACAAAAATATGCGGAAACAGTTTTTAGCGGCATGAAATCTTAATTATCGTCTCATGTCTCGCTCTCGGCAAAGCCATGGCCTGCAGCAAGGTTCGGATCTGGCTTGATGCCGAGCCTAAGGCCAGCGACACGACATCGCCCCAGCTGCAACGAACCGTGAACTGAGGCTCCCACAGAGCTGGCGAGTTTAGAACTTCCCAAACCCCTGCTGTTGCGTCTTTCCAAAATGCGGAAAGAGATAGGCCTGACATCCATCTTCTGTGAGCGAAGCAAGCATCATCAAACGAGTCCGCACCATTCTAAGCCTTCTTTCTCTGATGAATTGAAGTGAAGAAGACCACATTGAAGCTCCTACTCGGGATGTTGCGGAGAGCCTGTGCAGCTTGCGCCCACCTGCCGGGGGCGACTCTTCAAACTACAGAAGGCTGTCTGCCCCTCTGCACATGCATGCACATGCGACGTGTCCAGACTTGCCGCAGGTAAGCTCTCGCCTTAGTTGCTCTCTTCCTTTCTTCATTCCGCTCCTTTGCAAAGCAGAACCTGGGCCTCGGAGGAGGTGCGAACACGCGAAGGCAGCGAGGGCGACGGCGCCACGAGGGCAGAGCCAGCACGCCTCAGTCTCAGCGTCTTCTCTGAGATCTTCGAGGCATGTCTTGCCACTGCTGAAGTCGTCCAGATCGCCATCGCTTCAGCGCCATCAAGATGTCCGGAGAAGTCAATGTGGCAACAGCAGCACGCGCTCGTGCGGCAACCTGAAAACAGAATCCCAGAGAAACCCGCATGCCAGTCCGCATGCCCTGCATGACCAACCATCATCTTTCATCGGTTGCCGAGTCGCCCAAGTTGGGAGCTCCAGATCTTTTTCCAGAGGTGGGACACCGAAGCCTGCACCCCAGCTGTGTGACTATGGGTGAGGGATCGAAAAATACAAAACCTGGGATCAACCGCAAATCAAAATAGTAAAATAGGGATCAATAAATGAAAATACAAAATCTCCTTTAGGGTATACTTACGATTACCAATTTTCGGATCAAAAACATGAAACAAGGAAACGCGGTGCCAGGCGAAGATTCTTCAGGGTCGCAGTGGCACTGGCAGTAGCAGCCAACATCAACATCAACATCAACATCAACATCAACATCATCATCATCATCATCATCACCATCATCATCATCATCATCATCATCATCATCATCGCCGGCTCATCATAAACCTTAAGCACGCCCCCTCGCTTGGCGATTCCGAATCATCATGACACGCCCCCTCGTCGTTTGGCGTTTCCGGTTCATCATTTATCTCTTTAGCCACTCTCCCACGTAGTCACCGCGGGGTGCCGGCCTAGGGGTCACCCACAATGAATACGAGGCGTCCTCGTAAAAACTCACGACCGCGGGCAAGCCGCGGAACCCTGACAGCTCCCACATCAACGCCTTCGTCGGGCGTCCAAGCACAGCTTGCGAGCACTGCCTACCGCTCTGCAGGCGGCGTGGTCGTAAGCACTGTCGTTCAGACGCCTCGCCAGGCTCTCGCCACACGGTGGCACAGACAATGTGGTTTTCGCAATTCTGCCGTGATTCGGCACCAAGTGGATGGTGGCACAGCTGCCTGCTAACTCCAGGGCCCACGGCTTGCACCCTTTTCGGTGAAGGGACTAGACTAGACGACGTGGCCAGTAGTCGACAGGGCCTGCCTTCGGTGACAGTCGCACCATCCGTGAGGACGTTCAGCGAGCCGAAAGAACTTGAAAGGCAAGAAAGTCTTGGATTTGACACAGCCGGTCCAGCGAAGACAAAAGACAGGGTCCCAGCCCCAGCCCATGACTTCAAAGGCAACGAGCAACGGAGTCTCGCCACCCATGCGGCCATTCGTCGCCGGCACAGCTCGATCGCCGTCAATGCTGGCCACAGCATCATCCCACAGCGCCAGCAGGAGCACCAAAGTGCGAAAGTGACTGGCTTGTTGTCGAGGGTGGTTCGACACTGCCCGGATGCACTGCAAACGTCTGTTGGCGACCACAAAGGAGTAGCGAGTCAGAGAGGGTTTTGACGGGCTACAACTACTGTAATTTACGGCGTTTCAGATCACTTCAGAGTTGAATTTTAATTGTTGATCCTATCTGATTTTGCTCCCTGTTTGATTGTTGTTTGATGCTTATGCCCCGTGTGGCAATATGCCCTAACCTGCGCGACCACACCTTTAATTTATAGTGGTAAGGCTTGTGTAGGGCCTCAAAATTACAGATCGAGCGCGGTGAAGTTCTTTACTTTGTTGGGTCTGTTGGGGCAGTGAGTGACAAGAATTGGGAAAGCAGTTCAACTCAGATTGTCTACCACAGGCTCACAGCTAAAATCATGCCCCTACCCCCTCCCCCCACCCGCCCTGGATCCAAACACGATGCAATCCCGATGACAAACACAAGCCCAACATGAACCCCCTCTACGCTCAGCGGGTGTCCGAGAGTGGATGTACTCGAAACCATGAAAATCAGATTTAGTAACGCTGAGGGATTACAGCATCTAACCCGAGCTCTTTGCGAGACGAGCGGCGCTGAAGCTGCCCCAAGGAGCGGCACAGTAGCGCAGCCTGCAGGAGTTTGCGCTTTTGGCAAGTTCACCACTGAGGCCATGTACACAGCATGGCACCGCGGCCTCAACGTCGCCACTGAGCAGCACGCATTCCGTACGCAATTCCATGGCCTGAGAGCGTCTCGGAAGCTCTGGCATCGCAGTGACTGCACGACTGCACGCACCCCAGGGCCGCACCTCTGTGAGGTCAAAGAACTCCAGAAAGACCGCAAAGTCCACCCAGTTGATACTCAGCCCAGAAGGGTAAGGAATCCTTCAGCGCTTCGGAAAGCTCCGAAGTCTGGTAGCTGAAAGCATCTCATAAACAGTTCCATGTAACATGTATAACTTTATATCCAAAAATAACTGCTTGTCTTGCATCTGGGCGTTTGAAGCCACGCAGGCCGACCTGACAGGGATCGTAAGGAATCTCGGACATCGCATTCGGCGCAGCCGAATCGCTCCGAATGTTCGTCAGACCGTCTCATGAACTGGACGCTTATCGGGTATCTCGACCCAGGCCTCAGATAGCCCAGGCAAATCTTTACGGGCGGTGTGCCCGTCCCCAGCGTCTGCAGCTCAAGCTGATCTTGGCCAATTCCTTGCAGCGTTTGATAGCGCAACGGTGTAGCGCATGCTGCACATGCATTGAGCTTTGCTTTGCACCTACGGCCTGTGCGGTTGCTATCGCCTTGCTAGGCATGTGTCGAAGTCCACGACAGCTGAATCACGGAGCTAGTGCGGGACGGATGCCTGCAAACGGCCGGTCAATTCCTTTATCGGAGGCATACGGTAGGTGAAATGGGTTTGGATTAGGTTCCAGACGTCACGTTTCACCTTGGCAGCGCCCTTTGCCGTGGTCAGTCGAATGCAGGCTTCGCACTGTAAGCGACAGAAGGACGTTGCGCCAAGTGTCGCAGCCGTGCATCCACGAAGGTTTCGTGCGCGGGCAGCCATACCATACCTTCAGTTTTGCGGCAGCATTCACAAAGTGATCCGGCAAAGCAAAGTATCTCAGTTCAGAAAATCCGGGCCAAGCACAGAACCGGAGTAACTTGATCGCTTCAGCAGAGCTGCACTGCAGTCCTGGCTCTGCCGCAGTGTGGACAAAGCGACGCACATCCTGAGCAATTGCGAGCCTCCTTTTCTGGGCATCCTATCCCTGGCACTACGTCGGACACTCGTCAACGACAGATCTTCCGCTTCTACGGCTATCGGCAAATGCCCCAGGATCTAGGATAGCGTGGCCACGTGACAACTGCCGTCCCCTGGCATGGAGCAAAAAATTTTTTGCTCTTTGTACGTTAGTGTTGTATGTCAGTCTTTTGCCCGGCATCGCTTTTACAGTTGAGGGTGGCTGTACTGTCGGTGTTTGGGCTCAGGCTGATGAGCCCCAGCGTTTAGGGGCGAAACATGTCTCAGCGCGTAGCGAATCTTTCCATTTCATAAGAAAAAAGTGCTTGGCTGCTGCCTTGGATTGATCTCTTCACACTACGAGTGTTTGTGGGCAAACCATTTCCTCGGAGGAGTCTCCTTTTTGGCGCACGGCACTGGTCTAGTTCTCATCATGGCTGATAATCGATCCCAAAGTCCTGGTTTCAGTTCGGCTATGCAAGTGTTGGCTTCACAGATGGTTCTACCACTAGCTGAACACCTTGGTCGTCTCAATTCCAACCTTGTTGCTATGAACCGCCAAACTGCAGATCGCGAAACCCTACAACATGAAGCACTCCTACGATCTATCGCAGAGCTTGATGGTAAAAAACGAGCTACGAGCTCAGATGTTGATCCAGTTGTGGTTGGTTGTCCGAATGAGTTGTTGAAACTTCTTGACCCCATTCTTGCCAAGTTTGCCATACAGCAAAAGCGCAGACTGGAAGACTTGATTGAGCATCTCATCAAGCAACGAGGCTTGAACAAAAAGTACGCGCAGAAGATGCATGCCCATTTCGCCAATGAGTCCAAATTCGAGTGGCAGTTCCCAAAGGATTATCGTGCTGTTGCACAACCAGTGGCTATTGAACATGAGCTTTCCCTATACGAGATGGCCGATGAATATAGCCTGAGCAGTGCTTGGGCTAAGCTGCGAGAGCAACATGCCCGGCAATGCATGGATTTCATCAAACAGCATGGGTTAAAGTCACAGGAGTACTTTGAAAGCAAAGTCCAAATGGATACAGTGCTGAGTGACACGCAAATGGCTCTTGCTGTCTTTTGGCGAAGTGATGAAGGATGTATCTATAGCCAAGTTGAACGTTTGAAGTTTTCCAAGATCATCTCGGATTACGTCCGTCTTGTGACTCGTCAAGAGTGTACAAGGGTGGCTAAGCGTGAACGTGAGGCGAAAGAGGCTGAAGTGAAGCGGAACAAGGCGATCGACGAGTCGAATGCGTTCTTTGACCAACTTGATACCAAGACGATGTTGGCGTTGGCTAAATCAGTCAGTCAAGGTCCTCATGGTAAACTTCGTGACGGGACTCTCATGCAATACTTGTGCAAAAAAGAGCCAGAGAAGGTTGACACTTTCTTGGAAGCTCTCAAAAAGCGTGGAGGTGTTGTTTCTGATGATGCTGAAATTGTACGAACGAAACCAACCCGGGGACGGAGTCGTGGTAGTAGCAAGGCCCGTGGCTCAGATCAAAAGTTTCCCCGAACCCCAGCTGCATCCAGAAAGTCTTCCAGAGCTTCCAAGAGATCGTCACGTTCCAAGGCCTCTAACTCTAGCCGTGTGTCCTTTTACAGCGCAGTCCGTTCCAGCTCGCGGAAATCATCGCGACGATCAGCGTCTAAGAGCTCACAATCAAAAAAGCCAGCCCCCGGAAAATCCAAAGGCAAAGGTGGACGTGGAGGTCGCGGCAAAGGTCGTGGCAGGCGTTCTTGACTAGCAGTTCCATGCCCCCCTCTTTCGCACCGTCCACGTCGTCGGGGGAGGCATCGAAGTTTCTGGACGGATGATCGTTGCACGATAATTGACCTACAAGCATTTGTATGTGTACAGCTGCATAAGATTCAGCTTTCAGCGCTACTTGGTCGTTCTTCACCAAACAAGTTACATACTGTGGACTGTCAATTGAGAGACATTCCCAACTTTGTTCAGAATCTCTTGACGAAATCGCTCAAGTTCGTTCCACAAACCTTGATGGAATCAGTGGACAAATGGTTTGCCCAGGTGCCAGATTGTGTGCGCAGATTGGCTTGGAAGCTTATTTTTGCAAACCGAGATCGCAGATGTGGTCGGCGTATGTGCAAACTCTCCAGTGGCAAATGGCCTTCTCTTCCCGGCAATGTGAAAGTGGATTTTGATGACTTTGAACACCAACTCCGATGCGGACTTCAAGAATCTTGGTGCGCTCTTCGCAAATCTTCAGTGAACTCGCAAAACTTCTCAAGCTTGGATCGCAAAGCTTTACGGTGGCTAGCTGATAATGCTGGTACACTTCGTGCTATTGAAGCTGACAAGAACCTTGGGGTTGTCATTGTTTCTACGAAATGGCTGCTTACACAGATACATGGACATTTACACGGATATGTTCGTATTGGTGCACAAACTGCGTGGAATTTCCTTGACAGCGACGCTCGTGATCTTAAGATTCTGGTATGCGAAGCTGGCATCAACGGTGTCATTTCAGAAGCTGAACAGCGTTTCTTGCTTTCACACTGTGATTCTACAAAGATGCCGAATTTTCGTGTATCAGTCAAAATCCATAAGGTCCCTCCAGAATCCAGGCCGTTGTCAAACATGCGAGGTCATGTTCTTTCAGGCGCAGCTCAGTTCCTGAATCAAGGTCTTTTGCCGATACAGCGTGCTTGTGTACATGTCATTGACTCTGCTTTGGATATTGTTAAAGCTTTTGAGTATGACGTTCTGGCTGATGACGAAGAGTTTTTCACTTTCGACATCAAGGCATTGTATCCAAGCCTCATTTGCAAGGATGACGCCTTGTGTGTGCAATCAGTGGTGGGTAGGGCCATTTTGAACTTCTACGCCGCCCCTGGGAAGTTCTTGTATGCAGACTTTCTCATCAAGTTGTTCAACCTTCTGTTGCTGCATCCCGTGATCTCGATTTGCTTGGAGGGCGACATCTGTTATTACCAACAACAAATTGGACTCACAACAGGCTTGTCTTGTGCAAGCACGATCGCCAACATTTTTCTTGCAAAGGGGTTTGATGTCCATTTGACTTCGTGTCTCCCTGTACGCAAGTATGTCCGTTACATTGATGACGGTGGTGGTATTGTGAAAAAGCACATTCGGCCTATTCTTCTGCAGCATTTAAACTCTTGGCACCCAATGATCGTTGTCCAAGACAAAGATTTGACTTGTGGTTCCGACGTGCATCTATTAGACGTGAGACTCAGAACATTGGGCCATCGAATCTATTGCACGACATACCGCAAGCCTCAGAACATCTACGATTACTTGCCGGCTTCTTCAACACATCATCCAGCTACACAGGTCAGTATCCTCAACAGTGAGATCCAACGATTGCTCTTGACAAACACGTTTGAGGGTGACTATTTCCGTGAAGTGGGCCTTTTTCTCGCGAAAGCGCGATGTAGAGGCTATGATCTCGCAAAAGCAAGAGACATTTTCCGGAAGTTTCCACATGGATCTCGACGGAATCTGATTTCGGCCAGGATGAACAAAGTGAAGCGCCGAATTGGGAAGACCGACACGTTCGGTGTGTCCATCAAATATGTCAAGGGTGCTGAACAAGTGAGGTGGTCGTCTACGTTGAAAGCTGCCTCTGCGAAAGCGAGCTACATCTTGGGCAAGCGTGTCAGATTTTGCCCGCGCTGGTCGGTAGGCAAGAATCTTTTCCGCCTACTGTACAAATTCACGTGGCAGGGTGGGTTAGGGTGAGCAAAATTTTTTGCTCTTTGTACGTTAGTGTTGTATGTCAGTCTTTTGCCCGGCATCGCTTTTACAGTTGAGGGTGGCTGTACTGTCGGTGTTTGGGCTCAGGCTGATGAGCCCCAGCGTTTAGGGGCGAAACATGTCTCAGCGCGTAGCGAATCTTTCCATTTCATAAGAAAAAAGTGCTTGGCTGCTGCCTTGGATTGATCTCTTCACACTACGAGTGTTTGCAGACACGGATCTTCTGTCATGACTAAACCAAAAAAACGGCAGGGACTTCCCAACGACTCCAAGCAGCTGCAGATGCAACGGCTGATTCATGGCCCTGCATGGCCCCCACCGTCTCCTAAGGTTTCAATCTATCACCAGGGTCGAGGCAAGAGACGCGAGCAGTTTCTGGCGCTCTCAAGACGAACTGCCGCTTTCGAGCCGAGGCTCCGTTACATCATGGCGAAGGCAAGCCAGCGAACCCCCAGAACATGGCTTGCTCAGGCAGAGGGGTGGATCTGGAGTGTCTCTCCTCCCCAGACTTGCCGTGCTTCCTTACCTTTTCAATTTCTGTACAGAATCCGGAGTTGCGACCTGGCTACACAAGACACCTCCACAGGCAAATGTCATCTAAGCTGGGCTGACAAAGGCTTTGAATGCTCGTGGGCTTAACTTGAAGCACCTCACATCCCGGGCAAAAAGGCAAATCGGCTTGCACTTTTCGTCACAGCCCGTCACATCCTCTGCCCGAAGCATTCAGAGAGAAGTGTCTCTCCCTCTGTGAACTGACGCTTGCGCTCGGCATCTGAGGCTTTGGCGACCAGGCAAGGATGCAGTGCAGCCTGCTGATACTGCTCGAAAAGCACGAAGTTTCAAGAACCAGGGGAAGCCTAAAGGAGAGGATGCGGCAAAGAAAGCAGTTCAGTGGCAAAAAACACCAAGAACGCACCTGCAGAATCTACAGGACATGCAGGGGGTATCTCCGGCAACATCCGTTGCCGCCTTCCTCTCTGGCTGCATGCTGCCAAGAAACAGACCCTCAATGCAAGTTCTCGGAACATGGTGTTGTTTTGCATCCTGCTGAATGCTGCCGCATGTTCCCTATGGTTGGCATCCAAATGCATGGGGTCCTGCGTAATGCATGGGGGTCCTGCGGAAAACAGCCAAGCGATTGAGCGACGCCGATCGGGTTCCACAGGAGCAAGTGTGCGTCCCGCCGGCTGTACACCTCAAACCTCTTGACATGCTGAGAAACGTTTAGAAACTGTACAAATCTAAGCACATACCGCGATCCTCCGCGATCCCTAGACGTCCATAGTACACACTACGGGAGCCCGGCTTTGCAAAATCCCCACTGCGCGCACAAGCTTTTCAGCACAGAAGGCAACTCGGCAAGGACGTGAATCTTCTCTCTGCCTCATGTGAACGTTCTCACGTTCCGGAGTAGCGTCTTAAGACTCTAGAGGCGCTGCTTTCGCACCAAGACCCATAGAAATGCGGTCAGCATGGTGCCGGTCTGACGGATAGGTGGCATGGATGGCAGAGTAGCAGCCTGCCGCACGCCACTTTTCTATGGGCACGATCGACTTCAAAGGCATAATGGACCTTCATTTCACCCAAGCCGCTGCTCTTGTGCCAAGCAACCGAAGCAAACGATCCAAGGAAGCATGGTGCAGATGGCCATCGCAGTCCCTAATGACTCCGCGTTTGCTCTTCGACTGCCTTCCTCGGTGCACGACGTGACAATTGCAAAGACGACCGACTAGCTTCCCCTGAAGGCCCTCAAAGCGCAGTCCAGTGACAGCTCCAGGCTGGTAACCAAGCACGCCGACGCAGATGTAACCAACCACCGGACCTTCGCCGGGAGATCGCAAGGCAGATTCACCACAAGCCCTTCGTGCGAAATGCTGATATACGCTGATGATGAGCTACCTTCATCTTATGTCTTATGCAGACGTGAACAGATCTATAGTATCTATAGGCTATGTCTGATCCGTGACTTGTTTGGCGTCGCGTGCCTGCAAAGACTGACCCGAAAGATTGCGCGATAGCAGTCCTGGCGAACCAAGATGTGCGAACCATTTCTGGCTTGAGCGCGAGTTCACGTTAAGACGGTCAGCCGATCCCGAAGTTGATTCATCCAAACACACCAGAACGTCCAAACCGGCTCCACAGTCCACCAGGCAATGATCTTGCCGCGGCAGTTCGGGGTCACCAACCTTTGGGCTAAGTACGAAGCCAGGATTGGTTTCGCGTTTCGCTGGGGTGCTGCCTCCCCTCTCATCAAGTGTCGCCAAAGCACTCAGACCACAAAGGGCGGTCCACTCCCGGGTTGCACCAGGTTGCCTGGGCCACAGTGGCCACAGGGTCAAACCCTAGTCAGTAACTGAAGCCGAACGGCTGAACGTGAACATGCAAATTGCTGTGTCCCGGACTAGCAGGGAGAAGGTGAACAATGCAGAGGCTAGGCTGGACGGAGAACCTCAGTTGCGCAGACCACAGAATTATTTCCAGATGGATGTATTCCCCTTACCAAGCAACGGCTGGAGTGGGAGTAGCAGCGCAGAACCCAATACCTGGAATGGATCACGCAGCGAAATCTGTTTCATGGTATTGATGCACATGAACACGTTTTTTGTTCTTTCCGGGGCCGCCATCGCAGCTTGCAGTGGAGCCAAGTCACAAGGGAGCCATCCCCAGGATTATGGACAGCTGCGCAACGAAGGCGCGGCCATGCAGAGGTGACACGCGGGCCATGTAGTCTCCCAAGATGCCTCTGGAATGAGTTCAAAGTCGAAGATGCGCAAACCCATGCAGGATTTGTGCCTAGCACCTCTGTGGTGAGGAAAGCAGCTTGTTGATGCACTTACGACTGGCATTGTCTGAACTTGGGGACAGTGTGCCATAAAACCCACATCGTATCAGGGGGCCCCCCGGCAAGAAATATCTCTGCGCGGATGCGGCAACAGCCACAGTGAAACTGGCCCCATGCTTTGCTGATGCAGCTGGCCTCCCACAAGGCATCCGAGAATTCGGCCCACCGACATCACCTCGGCCAGGGACGTGGGCACACATCACCGCCCTGACGTGCCCTGATTTCATGCCAGGCACCGCCAAGAGAACTGCTGCACGCGAGGAGTCGAAACCCAGGTCTTCAACGAACATCATCCTTGGCCAGGCATGGTCAGGCCAGAGGAGATCCCTCCAGCACGAGCCCCACACTCACACACCCTGCGCAACAGCTACGCCTGCCATCACACACCAAGAGTCATAAAGCTCAAAGCATTCCAGGGGATGCAGCCTTGATCGGTCTGCAGCAGCCAGGTGCGACTGATTGTCCGCTGCACCGTTCGTGGCAGCCAAGTTGCCGACCACGCCGCCCAGCCTCAAACAACGTGTATCCAGTGCGTACCACAAACAGGGACTGCATGCCCTTGCAAGTTGCGATACTTTGATTAGACCGAGGTATCCTGAGGTGAGCTAATCCTTGCCCAACTTCGGCTCCAGTTGCACACGTTCTACGGAACTCCCGAAATCGAGCAGCTCATCTGTGACAGCACAGTGGGTATGCACTTCTTCGCCAAGAAGCAGCAGTGCTCTGAAGGTTGGGATGCGGAAGATGGCCCACAGCTGCTCCATCTCTGTGGCCAGAGCACCTTATCGGAAGGACCGTTTGAAGAAAGCTCTGACAGAGAGCAGTTCGTGCCAACTTGCCAACATGGCACCTTCAAGAGTCCTCTCAGAGGCCGGGCGACATTCTGCAGGAAAAGCAACGAGCAAACAGAGTGCCAGCCTCACTGCCAGCCAGAATCAAATTGAAATGACGTCGTCAGGCAACACCTAAACCGTGTCCCTTAACACCCCAAACTCCAACCCTCAACCCTGTTTTGCCGTGGGCTTGCCTCGTCGCCCGGAGCTCCCTCTGCCCAGAACGTGTGCCGAAGCAGAGACGAACCCTCGAAACCCCTGGAACTCATGCCAGTCGCTTCAAGCGACCCCTCAACCCCGAACTCCGCGATCCGTAAACCCCAAGACCCGGTTTCTTTCACACGGGACCGACTGCTGCCCTCCACACCATAGCCGAACCCACAAGAATTCCAATTCTGAACGTGACACACCAAAACCTAGACCTAAACCATGTCCCTGAAGACCCAAAACCTCAAAGCCAAAACTCTGAAAGGCCTCTCTCTCTCTCTCTCTCTCGCGGACCAAACTCTGAAACGCCTGAACCCCAAAACCTCAGACCGAAACTCTGAAGGCTTGAACCCCACCGTTTTCGAACGAGGTCTCTCTGAAGTGCCTGAATGCTACCTAAATCCCGAACCCAGCGATCCTTAGACCCTACCTGTAAGACCCTATTACCCTTAATTAAACCTCACGCCATTTTACGAGATGTGATGAACCGGCAGATCAGGGGGCACAGGGGCAGGCTTCAGAGCGGGGCGTGCTTGGGCACGCTTAGGAACCGTGATCAACCGGGATTCGACTTTTACTTTCGCACGAGGCACGCAAGGGGGTCGCGTTGAAGAAATCTGATCAATCGGGATCCACGACATGAAAGGGGGTGGGGTTAAGATATGCGATCAACCGGGTTCAGCCAAGGAGGGGGCGGTTTTACGAAATACGACGAACCGGGATCGCTAGATGATGGGGGCGCATCAACATACTGATCAACTGTGATCGCCACATGAGGGGGGAACGTTTAAGAAATGTCACGAACTCGGATCGTCAGCAGAGTCGCCAAACGAGGGGCCGGGCCCAGGAAAAGGTGATCAACCGGGTTCGCCAAATCTGCCTTGGCCTTTCTCGGAGCTTGTCCGGAGCCTGTTCAGCCTGTGTCTTCTGAAGCATGGGCCATGGGTCCGAGATGAGCGGATGGCAAAAGAATGCAAAAGATCGATTTCAGCTGGACTCTCTCTTAAGATCGATTTCCTGCCCGACGATGGCAAGTCTCTCAATTTCCAAAGGCTTGGCTGCTGACGAGATCGTGGCACCGCCCATGATCCGGTACGCTTCCCGCCAGGAGAGGACCCCGGCAAGGAGGGCTGCCGCCGAGCAGGAAAAGCCTTCCGTTCAAACACTGCTGGAACCCGGATGTCCTGAGTAAGCTAATCCTTTAGACGAACTGCCTGTCTACGCTGAGCCCAATCCACTCGTCTCCCGCCATTTGCCTGAGCACATGGCCAGGGATGCGAAGGCCACACCTCTGTCGGTTGCCTCACATGCTCGAACTCTCTGACCAAAGACGAATGTGGTCACTCTCTCTCCCACTGCAATGCTTGCAGTTTGTGAAATACCAGGTTCTCTTTCCACTTGACCGCTGGAGCTGAGCTTGACGTTCTACTTGCCAACCGATGTCAAAGTGGGATCACAGAAAGGCTACCAATCCAACTTGCTGTCAACGAGACTGTTAGACCGCACTTCCCGGTGTCCAAAGACACGCCAAGCCCGCCTCGACTTTCTCGCTGACTAGGCTCTGCGTAACTGGAACCGCTGCTGCCGCAAAAAATGCGATGGACATCTGTGTCGCAAAGAATCCTGAAGCAATGAGTCCGCCAAACTCAGCACATCGCAGCTTCGTCAACTTGCAAGAAGCGCCTTGCAGTGTCGTAAGCTCTGGCGTCAGCCTTAACTCGGGAACGCCGCGACAGATGCCTTGCCCATGTCTATGTCAACAAGACGCATTGTGAAGATGCCGGCCAGCATCATCGACGCGACCATGATTCGTTTCCTGCGTGAGCTGCAGCAACGTGCTTGCAAAGGGCTTTCTTGATTATGGCTATAAGACTACAATCCTGACGATGAGCAAACAAAGAAACTGTCCAGAGACAAATGGGACCTTTGCTACAGCAAAGAGTATGCAGCAAACGTCGCTATGTGCCAACATTGGCTCCTGTCCAGACGGTCTGCGAGGGATCCCCAAACGATGCCTGATGATGCTGACATCTCTGACTATGCCTTCCAACCGCACCTTCATTGCTCAGGGAAAACGGCATGTAATTCGAGCCTGATAGGCTGTTTGCAAGACCTCTGGCCATCAGGAGCTTTCCGAGAACATCGGGAGCGAACCCGAACTCCTTCTCCAGCCTAGGATTGGAAAGAGCGAGTCGCCCACACACATATCCCGCATGACAAAAACTGCGAGCTTGCATCACCAACAGCGCACGAGTTTTGGCACTCGCACTCGACAAAGCAGGCGAGGGTTGGGGAGGTCCACACATTTCGACCACCTTACACCACAC